CCAACTAAAATCCAAAGAGATTGATCTTTAAATCTAAAATGTATGGACCAATTGTTAACTTCCATATAGTATTTATTGTATACTATGTATCATGTTCTCTGCTGAATTTAAGGACTAAATGCATCAAAAGGAGGGACTGAAGATCTCCTCTTAAAGCCCTCAGAATGGACCTCTGCTTTTTAGATGAGGCTGCAAACACTAGTATGTTAACTTTATTCTAAATTTGTAAATTCATAATGAATCACTTAATGTCTTTTGCAATAAACCTGTACTTTTTGATTTAGTCAGTAATCTGCTCCAAACAGCTGATCACCTGACATGTGGCTCTTTGTTCCTGAGAATGTTATTTGAATTAGAAGACCATTCTAATGATCACCAAGCTACAATGTCTGTGTAGATACCGTAAACCTTCTATTAATAGCCCAGACTTTCACTTCCTTCGGTCTATGAATGATCCTGCCTTTATTTGAGGCAGTCTTCAATACTAGATAGACTTTTAATTATTTCAAACCAAATATGGGAAAGACTATGAATCTTCCATTTAAATCAAAAAGAATATTTGACTTTGTACAAATTAAGGAAATAAACTACTGGTTTTAAAATAATATACTTGATATTGCTGTATAACAGTTTGGTCTACCTGCTTTAAGGCGTATGTATACTATCTACTTTACTACTTTCTTGGACAGATGTCAGAGTTGATCTTTCTTGACATCTTGCTGCTTTTTCTCCATTTTAAGACTATGTCAACACTAAATGCATAGGACATGCCTTTATTTGTTAAAACACATGGCATTACCAGGCTTGTGAAAAGGAACTGGTCATTAAATTAGGACAGGCTTTAATTTTAGAGTTTTATGGTATATCAGGTTAGACCTACAGCCTTAATTAAAGGACCTTGTATTAATAAAAACTGTATCTGTGGTGCTTTAACATCTGATGACAAACAACTCTATCCAAAATCAGTTCTACAAATCATCATAGATGTTTAATGGACAAATAATTTGATGCATCAAAAACCTCAGGACTGAGCTCCAAAACACCCAGTTAATAGAGATAGTAGGTCATGAGTTCATGTTCCAGTCCTCATTGGTGTGTATGAAGATCCCACACAGTCCCCTGAGTGTCCATGTCCTCTGCCACTTCCTTTTCAACATTTCTCTGCAGTGTGTTCACAGAGTGAGATTGTGGAGCCTTGTGACTGAACACTGCATCGGTAAGAAAAGCTCAGAACACATTCCTTTATGTTGTGTTGATAGAAGTCATTACAGCTCAACGCTGTTCACTCTGGCTGGTCTGCCAGGTCATTCTGCTCAAAGTACCTGCAGGGAAAAATAGTTAAAATCAATACATACATCCTGTATCATGAAAGTACTATCAACATTTATACATGTATATGTTCTAAATGTAATTGAAAACTAAATATAATGTAATAAACACTGAAGTAGTTACTGTTGGAAAGGATAAGAAACACATTTGTTTTAATGCAACCAGCCATAAAAATGTGATTTGGCCTGACCAATACACAGTTTTTGGATTCAGTGGTTACCTGGCAACAAGACAGATGAGCAGGTTGAGGGGAGGCAGTTTCTCGTCTTCCTGACTCTCCTGTAGAATCATAAATACAGGATTGAAACAAATGTATTTTCAGCCCTACAATATTTTACATCAAGGATTAAATTCTTACATACAAAGGAGCTATAGAATACATGACACCCATGTCGTGACAGAGAGAGACCAAGGCAGGATAAAATACAGTAAGGAGTAGTGGCAGGGTTTCTGCAGGTAGATTATAACACCACAGAGCCAAATGAGAAATACAGCAACTTGTAGACATCAAATAAACAAAAGAGGATGTTGAGGTTCAACAATCAGACTAAGTTTTACCAGTGTGCTACGGAGATGAGAACATCGCCTGGCCAGCTGTCTGATGCAGGAGTGGGCTTCAGGTATCAGAGGCTTTTCCAGGCAGGCCAACAGAGAATACAGCCAGCGTCCCTGTACCAAACAAACAGTTTAAAAAAAAAATCAAACAATGTCACAATAATTCAGAAAGACCAAACACACAGAAAGAGTTCATAAAACAGCCCATTTTAATATTTAAAATGAGTACAAAGAGAGTCAGAAGTATCCACTCACCAGCTGAGGAGCAAACTCGTGTTCCTCAAACCAACTGATGAGAATTTCCAACAGCATCAGCACGGTGGACTTTAGGCACACAGACGGGACAAAAACAACATCATGATCAGACAGTAGAGCTGGTTCAGACCGGGTCCATGTCTAAAATGAGGATTTCATTTACCTGATTCAGTCTGCTGACTATGCTGAGGAAGGGAGGGAAGCCCATCTGTCCAGACATTCAGGGAGAGAGGAAACAAAAGTTACTACGATGATATGATCTGACAAGGTTGTGAGGCAAGTTAAGAATACAATATACTCTTTTGTTTCTTAAATTTAAAAAAAAAAAACCTAATATCAGGAACATAAATTATCCTTTTACACTAACAGTTGATCATACTTTACTGTAGTCCAGCGCTGGTTCAGCATTTGTCTGGCAGGAGGAAGTACCCAGATAGACCGTCTCTCCTAAACAAAATGTTTTCCAGCCCTCTTCATCTGTTAGCTTTGGCTAACACACACACACACACACACACACACACACACACACACACACACACACACACACACACACACACACACACACACACACACACACACACACACACACACACACACACACACACACACACACACACACACACACACACACACACACACACACACACACACACACACACACACACACACACACACACACACACACACACACACACACACACACACACACACACACACACACACACACACACACACACACACACACACACACACACACACACACACAAAAAAACATGTCCTCAAGTGAAATCTTTTTTGATGGTCATTTGTTTACACATTTATGGTGAGACCATCTCCTCACCATCAGCACGTTGTCATCCAGAGTCTGGCTGCTCCAGTGTATTCTGTTCTTTGTGATGCACTGAACGAAAAAGAAAAACAGAACCCACACATGGTTTGAAAATACAGATTATTTAGTAATCATATGCCAGTGTTAGTGATTGTTTTTTTATAACCAATCTCATAACCTAGGTGTCTTCTATTTCATCAAAGAGAACGTTGCATTTAAATCAGTCGATGGTCAATGTGAGACCCAAGGCCATTGGCTCACAAGAGAGACAATAGGAGTCCTTTCTTCTTGAGCTGTATCTGTGTCTGGATCCTCCTGTTCCACTGGAGTCAAGGACACAGTCTATGCAAGCAGGTGTCTCAACAGTTGTAACAAATTCAAACATAAAAATGTTTCCATTCAGAAAGTTTTGTTGTGTATGAGCGTCTCCAAGTGTGCAAAAGTAAGATCACATACAAGCCTGTCTTTCATTTAGGACCAGTCTCAGTAGGATCATGGAACAATAAGGACTGTCTGAACTTGCTTTATGTTTTGGTTATGAAGTAATGTGGAAGTTGGTGCTTGTGTTTTGTTTTACCTGTCTGACATCTGAGAAGTTACTGACTTGCTGCTGCTGCCAGTGGAGACTGGGGGAGAAACCCACTGGAGCCGCATGGCAACCTGCCACCTGAAACACGCGAGACACAGTTCTCAGGGAGTTGAAGAAACAGTCCTTTTTCCCCAAATGCATCTCATCTCATACATGCAAATGTTGTCTATATGCCCCTTGTAGCCCCTTAAACACTGTATGCAAGTAGTGCAGTTTAAATCTTAAATTGATTTACTAATTAAGAAAAAATAAAAACAGTAGATGATTTAAGCATGCACGTTATTCAAACATTATTATACCCCCCTACAGTTTCATTGTGTCTGTACACAGTATTTTATACAACACATTTGAAATGAGATGTTAAAAGTCGTTCAATAACTCACAGAGGCATTAACTGTTTGTTTCTTCTTCAGTTTCTTGGGGGTCTATTTGTGCAACCACCACCTCTGGACAAAGCGATGCCTCCAGCCTAATAAAGGAAGCACATCAGAACCTATGATCAGACCTGATCACACCTGATCGACAGGTGTAAAAGGTGACTGAAGTTATCAACTGTAACTGTTTTTTTGTGAACAGAGAAGAGTTAAGCGAAGAGTGGCAACAAAATCAAGACACTATTCTGATAACACCGGGATCGTTCATCAAGCATCAGGCTGTCACAAAATTCCTACTCTTTGACTCTGATATATTTATTAATATCCACAAAACTTACAATAGCCTACTTCCGGTGTGCATCATCAGTGGAGTAGCCTACAGCGCAGTCCCCGTATGTATAAAGCCACACATTCATTGATCACTGTCCAAATGGGGGGGGGGGGATGTTCTTTGAGTGACTTACTGGACTTGTCGGAGGTATTCTCGGGGGTTTCTCGGAGGTCCGTTCAGGTCCAGCTCTTCTGTACTGGCTCCGAAGTCAACGGGCAGCAGCCTCGGCATTAACTCCTCCGCGTCCGACTTCATTTTCAATCAATTCTTATCAAAAACACACAAAGTGAAATGCTGCCACACTTGTTGAAATCCACGACTTGTAAAATACAGTTCCTCTGGCGACCAAAACAACGACTTTTTCGCAGGTGGGTTCGACTACTCTCCAACTAGGTGGCCATGTTGTTTGAAACGCAGAAATATGACGTCGTCTTTATGCGCGGTGTTCGTTGCTATGGTAACGGATGCCTCTTGTGTTGTCAGCATTCCAGAAAAAGGCCAAAGTCCAAGAAAATATCATGGTTTTCGTTTGCAAAAACATTTGTCTGTCTACATTTTTGTTTATTTCTGTCACAGTGAAACTTATTGTCCACTAAAAATATATTTTTAAATCAAATAAAAGCCTCTGACCTCTCACCAGGTAATGTTTTGTATGCTATTGCAAGCACCTCTTTGATGTTAATGATTACCTTAATGCAAGCCCTATATCTTATCTTTCCTATTTACTCTTGAGTCTCTGTGACAGCAACAGCTTAGAGGCAATGTCCACTTGACAGCACTACAAGCAGAACTGATTTTTCACCATTATGGACATTTTCTCTTAATACACTCCTTTAAAAACTTCACCAATGGCTGTTTCACAGTCTTACAACATCATTGTGGGCTTGGGTATTGTTTTTGCTTTTTCACCTCATTTGAATATGGGATTGTTGTCTGACTACAAGATCTGCGTTGATTCAGAATGTCAGAGTAAGTGCAAAACTACTCATAGAAAGTCTGTGATAGGCTGTATAGTCACTGTTCTTTATGTTAATCTCTGTCTTTCATTTGTGTTTGTTTATATAGGCAAGATGAGCAGAGTGCAGGCCATCAGAGATCACTGTGGTAAAGACTGTCGTTACCTTAGCTTCAGACAAGGAGACACCATCTTTGTTTACCACAAACTGACTGGAAAGAGGGAAGACCTCTGGGCAGGTTCTGTGAGTCTGGTATCACCTTTCCTTCTCCCTGTTCGTTTTCTCTCTGTCTCTCAGAATAGAGTGTACTCAAACAGTTGATCACCTCAAGTGTAGGTTAGAGATTAGTCCTGATTTTAATACAGATAGTATCCAGCACTGATTGGCATCACAATGTACCTGACAAACACAAATGTAGAACACCTACAGTTTATTTAAATCGCCTCCTGACTTTAACTACTATACTATACTCAGTAAAAATCTAAATAGTTTTCTTATAATAATGACCCTCACAACAATGACCTTGCAGTGATTTTTCAGCTTTGATGATTTTATGTATCACGTACAATCACTCACTACTGCATGAAGATTTCGGATAAAGTTTGTCACACTTTAACAGTGTTAATAATTGGAGATCATTTTAAAGCAGAACCTGTTTGCAGATGTTTGTGTGTGTGTAAAATCTTTGCATAACCTCATATAGGCTATGTGTTTGATTAATAATTAATACAAAACTAACCACAATAATGCAAAATCCAAATTGTATCAAGTCTAATTTTTACAGACCAATATTTTATTTGTAGTTCAAACTGCATTGAAAAGTTTTGTCTTTGTATTTGTTGCTTCAGTCAGGCTTACGATATAAAACAATAATTATTATGACACAGTAAATGAAGTATGTGCCTCTTTACCTTTTTAAGTCTCATGTTCATCTCTTCCACAATGCTGCCTTGGCTTCATAGAACTGTTATCATTGTCTTGTCTTCTATTTCTTTCAGATTGACAAACAGTTTGGCTATTTCCCAAAGGATGCAGTGCGACAGGAGCAGCTTTATGCGACTGTGGAGAAAATAGTGGAAACACAAGTAAACCGGCTTTCATTTAGGTTTCTCTTCAGCTTAAGGTCCTTGATCAAAAGACATGCTATTTCATAATGATTACATCAAATGATTGTTGTAGTATAGTTTTGAAGCTGTTCAGGGACAATGACACATTACTGAAGTGTTTTCATCTCCTGTCTTCCTTCAGGAATCTGATTTCTTTTGTATGGATGAGTTTGGTTATCCCATTGACTCCAGTCATCTAGACAATGATGATGACAATGAGGATGTTGATAGGACCCAAAACCAGGAGCCAGAAACAGCACAAGCTGCCCCGTCTTTGGATAATGAGAATGCCGAAAGTCCATCAGCATCAGAAGACGTCTCAACAGAATCTGCAGAGTCAGCACAGGAAGCCGAGGGTTGCACACAGGAAGAGCCGGACAAAAACACAAATCCTGATGATAATGCTGCTGGGACTCAGGAGGGAGCACAAGAGGATCCTGCTGCTTCAAAGGAACAAGGTGGGTCTACCTCCTCTCCTTGGCATGGTTCTTCAGTGACAGGATGGTTAGGTCTTACTAAAGAGGAAGAACCCGCAAATGTGGCTGAAAGAGAGAAAGGAGATGTGAGAGAAGAGCCTCAGGATGAAGCTTCTTCTTCTTTCACCTCTTCGATGACACAATGGCTGGGGATGGGAGGAGATGGTGGAACAACAGATACTGATGTTAAAGAAAGAGAAGAAGAGGGAGAAAATGCAGAATATTTCACTTCAACCATGACTGGGTGGCTTGGATTTGGAGGAGAGAAAGAAACTGCAAATTCTGCAGAAAAAGAAGAAGAAGAAAGGAAAGGAGATGAAGAGCAAGAACCAGCAGAGACATTTAGGAGTAGGAGGATGTCTCTGGATCTAGAAGGCAGCCAATTACATGAGGAGGAGGAGAAAGAAACGGGAACGATGGATTGGCTTGGAAGCGGACTTTCAAACACGCTTGGATTTGGCTGGACCAATCAGGAGTCGGAGAGACCTGAAAGCCAGGTCCAGGAGACCACTAAAGAAGAGGAACAGCCAGCGTCTGGTTCTTGGTATGATTTGGGAATTGGGGACATATTAGGCTACAACAAAGACAAGACTGATGAGAGTACAGGAAGTGGTTTTCAGGAGCCAGAAGATGATGAAACATTAGACCAGCAGACAGGGTCAGAGAGAGTGGACACCAGTCAATCACAACCTACACTCACAGAGGAAGTAAGGACAGAAACAATCCATGAATCAAAGATGGTAAAAATGACAGAAGACCAAAATGCACAATCAGAGACAGCACCTGGCACCACAGAACCAATCACTGCTGACAGTGATAATAACAGTACAGGTGCTTCAGACAGTAAAAGTAAAAGTAGTGATTTACCAGGAAGTGCAGCAGCTGAGGCCGTAGGAGGAAAGTCTTCAACGCCTGACAGCTTTTCTCAAATAGCAAGTAAGGAAGATGATAAAGAAGAGGCAGTGATTGATTATAAGACAGAGAATACTGTGCTCGTTGGGGAACGATCTGCAGAAATTGAAAGTAAAGATCATCAGACATCCAAAGCAATCAAACACGAGGGGGATGATAATGACAGCCACACAAGAGAAGAAAAAATTAAAACTGTGAGTGAGACTGATCAGGATTTATTGACACAATCTCACACTGATGTGTTGTCCAATTTAAGTTCTATGGACTCCACAGGACGACCTGAAAGTGGATTTGAGGAGGACAAAACAGAGAACCAGGTGGGGGAAAGTGACAAGATCCAGAGTCATATTGATGAATCGGCTGATTTGCTTGTTAATATAAGTGCTAGAAAGGATGAGCATGAAGAGGATGTGAATAATGAAGAGGCAGATGGACTACACAGAGACATTACTGAGACTGAAGGTTCAGCTGAACATATTCACATTGGTAGTGTTGCTGGAGAGAGCATGGTAGAGAATCATAATCAAATATTCAACAAGCATGAGACTTTAGAACGGATAGGAAGCGTCGCAGATCAGGGGTCTGTGTCTCCAGACAAGCAGCTGAACGCCAACCGAGGTGAAGAAGACGCACAAGAGCAAAGAGACACTGTTACAGACACTGAGATAGATAACCTACAGTCAGTAACAACTATCACAACAGGGATTGAGAAATACGCCCTGAATGAAAGTGGGCCTACCTCGTTTAAAGATTCTGATACAGAGACTGAGATCGAGGAAGAGGGCGAGTTAAACGGAGAGAGGGAGCAGATGGGAACAGAGGAGTTAAAGAAAGAGCAGAAGCAGATGGAGTTGAAAGAGGAGGAAGAGATAAGGGCACAAGAAGAGCAGCAAGAAGAGGATGAGGAAAAACAGGATAAAGTAAAAGAGTCAAAGGAAGAGGAGAAGCAGCAGGAAGTAAAGGAGATATCAGAGAAGGGGAAACCAGGGCAGTTGGAGGAGGAAAAGGAGGAGAGGACACAGGAGGCAGGGAAGGAGGTAAAAGAAGAAGTAATCCGGGAGGAGTTTGAGGAGTCAAAAGAAGACAAAAACCAGGGAAAGGAAGTGGTGAAACAGGATGAGATAGACGAGTTAAAAGAAGAGGAAAAGAAGCAGGAAGTAAAGGAGATATCAGATGAGGGGAAACTGCTGGAGTCAGAGGAGTTAATGGAGGAGAAGACACAGCTGGATATAAAGGAGATAAAAGAAGTAGGAATCCAGGAGGAGTTTGGAGAGTCAAAGGAAAGACAGGAGGAAGAGGCGATGCAGGGTGAGATGGAGGAGTTAAAGGAAGAGGAAAAGCAGCAGGAAGTAAAGGAGATATCAAAAAATGAGAATCCAGTGGGGTTGGAGGAGTTAAAGGAGGAGGTGGAGGAGATAAAAGATGAAGGAAGCCAGGAGGAGTTTGGGGAGTCAAAGGAAAAGGAAATACAGGAGGAGGAAAAGGTGACACAGGATGAGACAGAGGAGTTAAAGGTAGAGGAAAGACAGGAGGAGGAAATGGTGACACAGGATGAGACAGAGGAGTTAAAGGTAGAGGAAAGACAGGAGGAGGAAAAGGTGACACAGGATGAGACAGAGGAGTTAAAGGTAGAGGAAAGACAGGAGGAGGAAAAGGTGACACAGGATGAGACAGAGGAGTTAAAGGTAGAGGAAAGACAGGAGGAGGAAAAGGTGACACAGGATGAGACAGAGGAGTTAAAGGAAGAGGAAAGACAGGAGGAGGAAAAGGTGACACAGGATGAGACAGAGGAGTTAAAGGAAGAGGAAAGACAGGAGGAGGAAAAGGTGACACAGGATGAGACAGAGGAGTTAAAGGTAGAGGAGAAGCGTGGCAAAGTGGAGGACGAGCAGCATCCGATAGAAGAGATAGAGGAGGAACTACAGAGAGTGGTAGAAGAGTCAAAAGAAAGGGAACAAACGGAAGAGTTCAAGCTGTTGTTTCAAGGAAGTGAAAAAGAGAAAAAAGATTGTGAAGAAGAACAAGTTAAATTATCTCACTTTGAGCAAGAGATAGAAAACATGAACAGGCCGGATTCAGAGAGCAAAGAGAAAGAGACACAAGATGAAGAAAGTGTAGAAACATCCTCACAGACTGACGAAAGACAGACAGAGAATCCACAGGTGGAAGAAGCAGAAAAAGAGGAGGAAAACAAACAAAAAGAGTCACTTCATGAGGTACAGGATGCTAAGGAGAATGTAGAGGGAGAGAGGAGGAAGAAGGAAGAAGACGGGAGCGAAGAACAATTTGTTAGGGCTAGAGATGGAAAGGATTCAACTAATAAGTTCTCAAAAGAAGAAGGCGATGTAGTGGCAGGGAACCCAAATCCAGAATCTAACATGACATTGAAGGGTACAGAGAGAGATGATGATAGACAGCAGGAAGGGGGAGTAAAAGAAGACAAACGACATGATGATGCTGAGGCTGATCTTAATGCTTTGGGACTCAATCAGTCAGAGAACATGGAAAACACAAACAATGATCTGATACATTCAGTTGAAGGTAAAGAAGTTTCATCAAGCCAGACAACCGAGGTCAAAGAAAAGATTCCTGAGCTTACTGGAGACAAAGTGCTCTATCAGGAAGATAAAACTAACGTTGAAGAAACTGGCAGTAAAGAGCTTTCCCATGAAGACAAAATAGAGATGAAAAATGGTGATTATAACAAGGAAGAGAGGGAGCTCAATGATGATGAAAAACTGAGCGATTATGCTGATGTTAAGGTGACGAATCAAAACATGGTTGGTACTGAATTGATGACAGATGGAAAAATTCCACCCGGTGAAGCGTTTGAAGCTCAGGCTGTGATATCTGAAGAAACGGCTCCACAACGTTCAACTGGTTCCCCGCTCCAGTCTCATAGTCTTGATGACTCTGAAGCTGAAAGTGGAGGTGCGTTTGGCCTTTTCCAAAATGCCTTTAGCTATTTTAGACAAACACCTACCGCAGAGACGAAGGAATCCACAGACACTGCCCAAAGTTTGGACTCTTATACGCTTGAAACATCCACCGCTCTGACTCCTGAAGAAGAAGCAGATACAGCCACTGAATCAAGCCAAGTTTATGTTCAAGATTTGCTCACAGATACTTCTGACAGCCTGTCACATAAGCAGCCTTCCTTATTGCAGACCCCCTATTCTCATCCAAGCTCTATTCCTCTGAACGCAGAGACTCCATCACAAACAAAAACTCTCTCCAGATTTTACAAGAACCTCCTCGCCTTCATGAGTGCAGACGATGTAGACATTTTAACGGACCTGTTTGGGCGTCACAAGCTGCAGTTCTTGGATGATGTCTTGGGAAGCTCAGAAACAATGACAGGTGATCCTGATACGACTGACTCTATAGTCCTGGATGTAGAGAGACTTCTGCATCACCACATGGAGATGCTTGTTGCTCCAAGCAAAAGGCTGCAGGATGCACCGCAGGAGGACAAAGAAAAGACCAAAACACTGCTCGCACTTCAGAAGCTAGAAATGCTGCTAGCAAAAGTAAGAGAGACTTTCAGCACAGGAAAGCCAGACACCAGTAACACAAGCCATCAAGGTATTTTTTGTCTACATGGCCTCAAAGATCAACACTGAAATGATTGATAACTTAAGTTAAATTAATATTTTGATTTCAGTTTGGATTTGAATGCATTGCAATGATCTCAACCAGAGTGCATGTGTGTTCCCTGTTAAATACAGCTGATGGCAGCTGTGTTGGTGAGTCCTGTTCAACTCCCAATAAAGATAAGGAAATGTATGACGAGTTACAAAAGGTGGGAGATTCCTCGGTAGGCCTGGATACTAACACTCCGAAAGATGAATGGATGGGACGGGATAAACAGAGTGATAAAAAGATAGGTGGTGGCACAGAGGAGGAGAGGGTAACTAAGAAAGAAGAAAGAGACATTGAGCCAGGACCGCCAAAAAAGCAAGAAGGTATGGATGACTCAAGTGTCGCTTAATCAAGAAGGATTAAAGAATGATTCAAATTTAGCAGTGAAAAGTAAGAAGTGTTGACCTGCCGCATTCTCCTGCAAATTTACTATTAAAGATTAAGGCATGACTAGAACACTGTTAACATTTATGAGCCTATTTACATGAAAACAAGTATTCCATCAATTTAAATTTGAAAAAGAGGGAACAATTTCATTTTGAATTTCTATTATGTTTGTCATTTTTAACTTCAGGGCTAATACAGCAAACTCTGGACTTTGTTCATAAGATCGCTGAGGACTCAAGCACTCATGTCCATGCAGCGAGAGAGCTCCTAGTATGGCTGACTGTGCAGGTAAGAGTAAAGAAAATGAAGACCAAATGTAAGTGTATTGTACTACACATACGCTAAATAATCCGATCAGAAACTTTTTTTCACATGACATCCAAATATGACATCTAAAACAGGTACAATCCAATCGGTCTTTCTTCAGTCTGCTTCTTTAAGGTACCCAACTTCAAAATAAAAGACAAAGTAGTAGGCCTAGTTATTGTAGAAATAGCCACTGTACAATAATCAGTGTGTTTCCTTTATCTCCTGTAAGCTTTGCTTTTATATGAATTAGGAGTGTGGTTCTTTAAGACACTGAACTTGTGACATGTCTATCTTACTCTCCTCTCCTTTAACATTCAGCTTTGCCTCCCTCTCACATGTCAAACATCTTAGCTCTGTCCACATCACTCACATTGCTTAGTGCTAGTGGCTCTATTACACACGTCAAGCCAACCGGCTATCAAACTGCTCGAAAGGCAAAGTGCTTCAAATGTTTTCGGGGGATTAATGAGTCTAAAGTTTCAATGGACGAAAATGAAGACAGTTCGGTGAGCAGACTAACTTTTGGAATATATTAGACATGTACAAATCAGTCAAGTCTCCACCTGTGCCCTATTTAGACCAGCTCGGTACTAGCCAATTTGTGCCGTAACCTAACGCCTATGACACGTGGTCGTACATAGTTTGAGAAATGTATCATTTGTGTATAAAGCCACATATTTATTCACTTTGAAATAATATTACCATAATACGTCATTAAGTCTACATACACCTGTTTCCTTTGGTGTGGTGTCACTTTTAAACTGCTCCGATGTGCCAGTGTGGCATTTTACAATTGGTGACGTTGCGAGTGAACCATTTACATAGGCGGGGGTGTATTACCAGGAGCACGATAGTGTTAAGTGCTCAAATAAATGTATACGAACGTATTTATGCGTCATATATTTTACACGGATGGTTTTATACATCAATAGGAAGAATGAGTCAATAAGAACCTCTGTGAGGGTTTTTTTTAGAGAGAGTGTAATTTTCTACTCCCCCTACGACGTGCAGTTGACGTCGTCCACTCTTGAGCGTCGTTGTTGTGAATAGGATGTGAAATCGCCGCCAGCCCGGTCGATGGCTTCAGTCTCTGCTCCTTATGTCGGTTGAAATGAGAAATAACCAAATGAAGTGATTCAGAAATGGTGGGACATACGACAACTGAGCAGTTGGCCAGCAAAGCAGTGGAGTTTCAGGAGACGGCAGAGGCGTACTACAGCATCGCTGTGGAGAAAGTGAAGGATGTACGTTATGTGGCAGGTTTCGTTAGCATGTCATAACTAGCCGTCACAGCTGACTCAACGTAGCAGACTGACAAGACTAAATATCTCAGTATTATCACGGAGATCATTTTTAAAATGTCTTTAACTTGTGTTTGTCGACACTTGTGTCCTGTGAGTGCTTTTAACCAGCTGTCAGGACCACATTAATATAGTTTGTAGCTTTTTGAGTTGTTTGTTATTCTTCAGAGTTAGCTCATAGCTATCCAGCTAATTGATATGTCTGATCAGGGATTGTGCTTTCCTGCTGTTTCTAGGCTTTCATTAAAGTTGTGGCAGGTGTTTTTAAATTTGACTAGTAGCAGCCAAACATAGCCACTTTGAATTGCTATTTATTAATTTTAATATCTGTGTAGTAAACTGCTAAAACTTGGGAGTCAGTACAAACTGCTATCAAAACCAATTAATAACTCACACCTTTATAAAGTTACACTTAGCTGTCAATTGTGCATTTATTATAACTTATTAAAGAAAAGATAGGATACTTTTGTACGTACTTTTAGAAAAGAAGGAAGTGTAACCCCAGCTACTGAAGCAACAGCTGTTTCGTTTCTCTTTGACCCTCAGGCTTTCAAGCATCACTAATGTTTAAATAACTAAGGGATGAATACATGTACCCGTGCCTTGTGTTTTCTGTTGCTTTGATAAGAACTGGTTTGGAGTTGTGCAGAGTCTAGAGTCTCATCCCAATGTAAACATTTTCTCTTACAATGAGTATTCAATTCTGCATAATTCAGTCCTTAGACAGGGAATATTAAAATCTCTTTCTTCTTTGTTTAGGTTGTATCTGCACTGCCTGATGACATCAGACCTGGACCAGACCTGTATGGGTTGCCATGGGAGCCAGTCATCGTCTCTAGTCTGGTGGGGCTTGTGACAATGCTGCTGTTCACCTGTAGATGCTACAGCTCTGTGAGTACACAGCCCCATCAACACATATTTATCATCATGTTTTGTTACCATGCATATTTTTAAAGCTTACAGTATATAGTTTAAAATAGTAGGTCTTCTTGAAAGACATACACGTGTTCTATTGGCAATGTAACCATTCAACAACTGATTATCTTTTATCATTTTCTTATTTCTTTACAGGTAAAGAGCAGATTTTATCGAAGTAAGTTCTCACTACATATTCCTTCATAACATCCTTAATCCATCATTTGACCCATCAAGCAGAAATATTTTAGAAAAGCCTTTTTATGTGTTTTTGAGCGTTGTATTCTCTACTTTTAGGTAAAGAGCGATGGATGGCTGAGCAGGTTGCACAGCTGCTGGATGAGAAGTGTAAAGTCCTTGAGACTCTCAGCAAATGTCAACAAGAGGTTGGTACTTGTGATAATTCTGACTGATTGCTGCTTGGTGACATCCGACGCTTGAAAAATTACACTGCAGCCAAATTAATTTAATATGTTTTGATATTCATGAAGTGAAAAACTTCTGAATCAGAAGATGAATGTTGTCTTAAGTGCATCAACAAGACACATTAGAAATTACTTGCAGACAATTATTGACATTATGCAAACCCTAATTAGATTATTTTTTTGTCTTGGCTATCATGGTCATCATTCCTGCTTTGATTTAATCTTCAATGTTTTTCTTATAAAATTTGTCATTTGCAGTATGATGACCTGGAGGGCTCGTTAAGAGACAGTGGCGTTCTGGCCCAAACTAAAAAAACAGAAGAACTGGAGGTAAGGCAGAGAGAACAGAAGAAAAAAAGTGCTCTTTATGGTGTTTGGTACATGAACTTGAGCTTGTATACAGCCTCTCTTTTCTAGTCTTCTGACTACTCAAAGCACTTCCTCACTGCAGGTCACAGCTACACATTCACACACTGATGTTAGAGGTTGATATGTAAAGTGACCATCAGATGAAACTAATCCCATTCATACACAATCATACTCCGCCAACAAAGCAGCAGGAGTACCTTTGGGTTAAGTGTCTTGCCCAAGGACACATCGGACATTATGGCTTCAGGATTAAGAGACGACCTACAGGCCCCTGAATAAATATTGACACTGCTTGGAAACAAAAACTGAACTCCTTAACTACAAACCTTTGCGTAGCGTTTTGCTAAAAGGAATGTCTTCTTCCTTATCAATAACTTCAGCCTGTTAGTTTAATCTTCAAGATATTTTATCATGTGTGCATTTTTTTGTCACTAATTCAAAACGTGCTGTTAGTTACTTTTTATACTTGGCGACAGTTCTGGTGTATCTAAATTTGACAGGCTTGCTTATTCACACACCCAGGATCATGAGGAAAAGATATCTTTCATTTGATGTCTTTTTTTCTTGCCACCTGACAAATATTAACTCTGCATTTAGCTGCTCCTGATCGTTATCTACCTGGTAGAAGAATACTCAGCTCTATGGCTGTGAAATGTTCCTTTTAGTAGACTCTAAAAATGATATTATGACAGCAGTGAGAAAAAACAGACCAGGCAGACAAGCAATGACAGAAACTAAATATAAAGACAACCATATTACTCATTTAGTCCATGTCTACATGCAACACCTCATATAAAGTAAGTGTATACATTGTTTAATGAAATGATTGATCATAGGATCTTTAACATGAACATTTAGTGAAACATTGCACTGTGATATTAATCTTCATGTTTTCACCATCCAAACATTTTGCTAAACACATCTTGTTTTTTGTTTTCACTTTCTTCTTTAGGTCAAAGCCAGACAAATGGGACATGACAAAAAGGAGCTGGAGAGGGATCTTAAACAACTGAAGGATCAACTGGACCAGCAGAAAGAACACAGGAAAGAGCAGGAAAGGAGGGTAGGAGAAACACACACACACATCAACAAACCGACCGAGTCTAATAAACTGTAGCGTATCGTTGTTATTCACAAACTGGTTGTTGTTTGTAATAGATTATTTATTGATTTATGCTTTCAGATAGCAGTGCTTGAGGAGAGCATGGAAACATCTGAAGAAGAAACCAAAGACCTCCACTCACAAGAAGAACAGGTGAGGCCATACATTACTTCAAATCTTATCTTTGTATCTTCAGATGTTCTTCTTTTCTCTTCATATTTTTACTTTCCTGCGACAATATCTCTGCCTGTTCCATTCTAGGCACAAACTACCTTGAAAGTGTACAATATGAACAGTGAAAGACTGCAGAGGAATATGGAAACAGCTGGAGAGGAGAACAAATTGTTACAGGAAAGTAATGCACAGGTACGACATTAATCTCATGTTTTATTTTTCTAATTTTTGCATTTTTGTCCCTCCCCTCTCCATGTCTATATCCCCTGCACCATGAATTCATTTTTTGCTCATCTCTTTCTTCCTGCAGTTGAGGCAGCAGGTGGAGGGATGGGCGGAGAGAGTGAGCGAGTTAGAGGAAGAGATAAGCAGGTGTGAGGTTTCCCACAGTGGGATGCTGCAGGATGTGACCAACAAGGATGAGCGTATATGGGTAATAATAACATAGATATACACACATTTTAAGTGCTTAGCAGCTATTATTTAATATTTTTTTGTATTAATGACCAAAAATTACTTGCAAACTCCTGCACTTCTAGATGGCACACATTGGCAACAACATATTTGTGCAATTGAAACTCTGTCTTCAGTTGTGCCTCTATTCTCTTTAAACAGTTAGTCTCAATTATCACTTGTAATCCAGATGAAACAACATGTGGATTTGAATAACACTCTTATGCTTGTGACACATTTTGGTTTAAAAGAAGATCTGCAGCTTTTAAAAAAAAAAAGCTCAACACTATTTATTATTACATTCATTTAAAAACAGCTGGTATCAAAAAGTAACAAAGTATCAATACTTTTAACAGCCTTATAATGAACTTTAAATTGCATTGTGCATTAAAATCAAGCGGTAGCCTCCGGTGTTGAAAGATGAAGCCAATGCGGAAGTGCAAAATCCTGCAGTTCGTCAAGTGTCCACTAGAGGCTGGCTGCAGGAACACAGGAAGTCACATACACACCCTTTCTAAAAAGCCTGTTTTTACAGCAGAGATTAACATGTTTACAGCCTGGTTCAAAAAACCAAATAGGTCTGATTCGTTATCGTCATCACTGGCACACAATGCACGGGGGGGGGGTGACATTTTTTTATAACGCATCTGTTTTTATTTTACAAACGATAAGTGTTATCCGTAATTAGGCGTGTAGCTGACCTGATTGACAGGTTGGGTGATATGTTACGGCATGTCAAGAGGCTTAAACCCCGCCTCAGCTCCAGCTCTCAACCTGTCATTAAGTTGACTAATCGTGAAGCAGAGACAGGATTTACAGCATGGCGGCTGCTGCCGATGAGCCTCCGGAGCCCCCCCGTTGTAACAGACACTCAGGCTTCATCCATTAATATTTACAGTCTATGATTAAAATATATTTTAGATAGTGTAATTCTGTTCAATATCTTTATGTTGATAGAAATTGGTGTTGTTCTCATTATTTGTATGTTCACACTTCACAGTCATTAACAGACAGGCTGCTAAGGATGAAAGCTTGGGATCCAGACATGGAGGAAGAGGGTGGTCAGGAAGAAGGAGAACAGGAGACATCGAATGGTACAGCGAGGAGACGAGAGGAAAACGGAAGAGGAGACAAAACAGACACACAAGGTCATCTCCAGAAAGTCCAGAAACTAATCTATGCTGCTAAGGTAAGTGACCTAAACAAGCACACACTGATAATGACACTGCATTTGATGTCGGCTTGTGCTTAGACCTGGAGGATATTTGAATGCAGATTAAACCTAAGCGTATTCTCTTTCTTGGGGCCTGCTAATGTGTTTGTTTTGTATTTTCTTGTAGCTGAATGCAGACCTCAAATCTGTAGATGAAGACAAGGACAGAGCATTTGCCAAACTGAACGATGAAATAAAAGCTAAAGAAGACCTGGAAGGTGAGCAAGCCAGACAGTGTTAGGTCACTATTAATAGTGATTCCAGTAATGTATGGAAACTTTGTGATGTGGAAACAATTTGAGTTTTTAGAGGTTATACAAAATAAGGGTAGGGTTAGTGTGTTAATGTGCAGAGACTATACATATCATTAATGTTCTGTGTCACTGTTTGTTTGTTTTTACATCTAGTGAGCATCAAGGAACTGGAGAATGAGAAATTATCCCTGCAGTCAGACTCTGAGCACTACTCAGATCAAGTGGGTGACGTCAGTTATATAAGTTCTTGTCCCATTTTCACTTTCTTTTGGATAAACGTCTCTTATTCTCTTATTCATGTGTACAGGTGCAAAGGCTACAACAGAAACTCAACATTATGACAGAAATGTACCAGGAGAAGGAGCTGAAGCTGCACAGGTATACACACTAATAAAAGTGCAGAAAAGCCCAAAGCTACAGTATTTGTCCAGGATGTTGATTATTGTGTTCTCTTGCAGGCTGCTGACGGTAGAGGAGAAGGAGCGCATGCAGAAGGAAGAAAGGTTAAACAAAGCAGACAAAAACATCGCTTTGGCCATGGAAGAACTCAACAACTATAGGTAGCTGCCTCCTCACCTGCAATTTAAAACAAATGTGTCATAAGTGAGCTTTATTCACCTGTGCATCACTTCTTTCTGCAGGCAACGAGCAGAGGAGATGGAAGAGGAGCTGGAAAAATCCAAACAATCTTACCAGACTCAAATATCAGCACATGAGAAGAAGGCACACAATAACTGGGTAAGTCAAAATCCTTTTGGAGATATATTGAGAGAAATATGCTGTGAAATATATTTTTTAATGCAAAGCCCGTATCAGTTTGTTTAGGTTTGGCCTTCTACATACTTGTCAGTAAATGCAGCACACACTGGGCTACAAATCAAAACTTTTTGATAGTCTCATGAGAGCCTTTTTTTGAATGTATGTGCTTATTTCATGTCATTGATCTCGGCTTGATTCCCCAGCTGGCAGCCCGAGCAGCTGAGAGAGAGCTTGCAGACATCAGGAGAGAGAACGCCCTCTTCAGGCAGAAGTGAGCATACAGTATCTGAACATTAAGGGGAATTCCAGCATGTTTAAATTTGGGCCAAAAAGAAAGTTCTTTCAGTAGACATGATATGTTGTAATTGAATTGCATTTGCCTTGAAAGATTTCATTTCAGCCATTACAGCCTGTTTTGTGGTTGCGAGTTGAGGAAACCTACAGGGGCAAGCAATTAAGTCTCTATAATATGTGAACGTTAGGGCTCAGGTTTTAAAGTCACAGCAGTCCAATTTAAATAAACATGAGGTTAATGTGTAACAGTAATCACTAAAGTATTTTTGTTCTTCAGTAAATGCAAAAATATCCTGCATTTGAAATTCAAGATGACAGATTTGATTGTGTTTGATGCTTTAGTGTATTGATTTATTTTTGTGTACTATACATAATAGATCCAGAAAGTCTTTGTCATATGTTGACATGTTGTATTTGTTTGCTTCCAGGCTGACAGACACACAGTTTAAACTAGATGCCCTGGACAAGGATCCCTACGCGTTGGATAGCTTGGCTAGACCTCTGCCTTTCAGAGGTTAGCGCACACACACACACACACACACACACACACACACACACACACACACACACACACACACACACACACGACTAATATACAACATTATATTCAGTGGCTAACAGATCAGAGCCCTGAACCAACTGAGTACAGATTCTTTCATCTTAGCATTTACCTAATGATTCTCCACCTCCAGCAGAAAGGTCACCATACGCTCCGTCTCCTTTGGGTCGACCTGCATCTGAAACTAGAGCTTTCCTATCTCCACCAACATTAATGGACGGGCCCCCTGCTAGACTGTCTCCTAGAGGTACATGCACATAAAAAAAAATCTTCATATATCATACTGTATTCATCTGTATATCGGATGAGGCTTTTGATAAAGATAGACAGTTGATAAAAGTGGAATCGTTCTTATTTTTTTAAGGAACTAGACTATTAAATGCCAACATACGTTTACAATAGTAGAAGCACCATGTATCTGTATAGCCAGTGTATCACTTAAGACTGAGCCCAGCGGTCACTTACAGCTGCAGTGACAGGCGGTGCTGGGATCTTGCTCAAAAGCAGGTCAAGTCATTAAACAACTTTCAAGTAGCCAAAAGGACCCAAGGAACACAGCATCTACGGTCGGATCAAGATTCAGTCTTCAAAACATTTTAATCGCCAGAATTAGTCCTGAAAAGGGGTGTTGTCTTATATTCTGACCATTATAGTAAAACAACCACTCAAAGTGTAAGTATAGTTTTCCTTATTACAGACCAGCCCTATCCTTTTGATATGATTGTTTTAAAGCATCGTCTGGATCTCTAGCTTTTGGCAGTTCTTATTTTACATACAGTGAAGTTGCTAATTCTGTCCCACAAGTCATGGCAGTAAATACTTGCAGCATGTTAAAGAAGAGCTGCTGGCTGTAGCATGATCAGCATTGTAGTTGCATGGTGTGTCTGTCTGCATGCTGTTTGTGGAGAAATAGAGTACAGTGTAATGGTCAGTCTTCAGTCCTTTCGGTTTATTCTATAGATACACTTCACTCTACCTCTTTGTCTCTCTCTTGCCGTCACACTCATTCTGGTCTGATTGTCTGAATTTCCAAATGTGTTGCCTCTTTGTCTCTCTCCCTCACTTTTCCACATCTTTCCTCCCTCTTTTCCTCTTACTATATCTCTCCTGTGTTCCTCTCTATCTGATTCTTTCCTTGGCAGTGCCTCGTGGTCCTATGGACCCCCCAGGTGGCCCAGGGGATATGGAGCGGAGCGGAGGTCCTCATTCAGACAGTGGCTCAATCTCCCCTACATGGGAGAGAGATCGCAGGGGACCCCCACCTGGACCCCCCGGGCCCCTAGGACATCCAGGTTTGTGTATGATAGTGAATATGTTGCAAGAGAGAGACAAAGAGAAAGAAATAGAGAGAATCAGTGAGGCCCTGGTGATGCTCATACATGCCACAGAACAAATGGAGGACTACTACTATGACCATTTAAACAGTTTGATCCAAAGCAGGTAAGTACTCCAGTGTAACCATTCCTTCAAAATGATTTTAGCAGCATTTCCTCCTTGCTTTAGAAACAATTTAAACAACTGGTTATAATTCTGTACGTCTTGAATTTAATGCTCCAATGTTTGGGGGAAAAATCGAGTTCACTTAATGTGGACTAAATAAAAAAAATGTTATCCTTTCTCGCGTGTTGAGATATTTGTATGTGACACTGTTGGATTTCTGTTGTGTCATTAGCAACATGGCCGTTACTATGGTTACACATCCGTGTGCACCTTGATTCTGTACAGATCTATGTAGATATGTGTGTTTTAAAGGCTGAAACGTTGATGTATTGCAGTCAATGCACAGGTGTGGCTACTGCTCATAACATTCAGTCAGTCGTATTTTGCATATGTGCATGCTAAATGCATTTTGACAGTGCATGTGAACACGACTTTGGACACTGAAAACAGCTGTCTGTTAAGATTTGTGATGAATGTTTGTATCTGGTTATTTATCTCATGAGATGTTCATTAAACTTTATTTGTTGGTATTTGTCTCGGTGTGTGTTCTAGGCTATATGTTCTCTGATCCAGGAGGTCCAATGTACAGGAGAGCTCCGCCTCCTCCAGGGGCTATGGGCCCTTTTCCAACTCCTGGCCCTTTTCCACCTGGCCCTCTCCCTCCTAGGGGTCTCCCCCCAGGACCGTTCCACCCTGCAGACATGACTGGTAAGTCAGTGTAATTAATATAGCTGCTTGTTAGTGCTTGCTTATGCCCTCAGCTATAATACCCTGCCACCTTTAACTGTCTGGATTGAAAATGTGTAAATATATACACACACTGTTGGAATGGAAAATCAATTTTGAGTATTAAAAAATGTATAAAGAAAACTTTATGGTTGTTAATTTCCTCTCTCTTAATGCAGATGGCTCATTCCGAGAAAACAGTTTTGGTCCTGGTGAAATGGAACACAGAGAGGTGAGAGGAGTATTTGTGTTCGTTTCAGATTTCAGTTATAGTAGAGGCTTCTGTGTGTGTTCGGTTTCTGTGGCCTTTTCTAACATTTTAAAATGTTCTGTACTTTTGTCAAAAAGTCTGGTCCTGGTGATCGAAGGACTCCCCCTGAAGCTGAATCAAGGACGGGGGGCCCACTCCTTCCTGGACATCCAATGGGCCCCATGGATGGTCCCTTTCCCCGCAGACCCCCCTATGGACCACCACCTCCAGATTTTTACCCTCCCAGGATACCTGGGGGACCACCCATGAGACCTAGTGAGCCGCCACAGCTACCTTTAGATTTTTTTTAGTGCTGTATTATCTGTCAATGCTGTTATAGTTAACTACACCCTCTCTTTCCATCTATTCTTTCTCCAGTGTGGGCCCTTCCACCTCCAGGGATGATGTTCCCTCCGCGCTTTCCTCCTGGTGGACCTCTCCCTCCTCATCCTCAACAAGCTCCCATGATGCGCCCTCCTCTCCCCGATGGCCTTCCACCTCCTTCGATGGGTCCTCTTCCTCCTCGACATGCCCTCCCCTCTCCCCCACACAGCCAGTCACCAGAGCAGCACACACCCTCGCCTGAGGATGCCATTTGAGCCTGACCAGGTGTCCTTGAGCTGAGAGATGCAGCGTTTCTGATTTAAAATTCCTGTTGTTAGATGGATGTTTGGGCAGGTTGCTGTTTTTTTTCCATTCCTATATTTACTTTAAAGTCTTCTTGTTAACCGGGGCTCTGTCTTTAATGAAGTGCAGGCAAACTATCAGTCCTCTTTGTTTCTGTCTTTCTGCTGCTGCTTGGTCTTCATCCTCTTTCTCTCTGCTGCCCTGACTCTTTCCTTTTTTCTTTCTGTGATACTCTCACTTGGCCCTCTCGTCATCCAGCACTATTCTCTGTTAAGTAGTTAATTGCTGTGGAGTCACAGTGACAGCGGTTGAGGCAGGATTCATGAGTGCAGCAGCTGAACCTGAAGATGTACGTTTGTGGGAACGTAGTCATGGAAACCAGAAACAGTTGTTTATTAGCTTGACAATGCCACAAAGGACTTCGATGGCACTTAGTTTCCATGTGTGGATGTAGAGATCATGCATGTGTGGTATGCGGCAGAGACTGGAGTGTTTAACTTATGTTCACATTTCACCCTGATGGCACAGTAAGAGATTTCCTTCTCAAGGAGATGACTATCAGGGAAGACATTTCTCTGACATTTTTTAGGTCTCAAAACACCAACAACACTTTAGCTGTTGTCACCATCCTTTTTAATGAACCTGTTCAGCATGTTCTGGACCTGAATTTGACTAGACTTCAAAAAGAGTACACCCAATCATGCTTTGTCTCTGACTGACTTGATCTGAAATTTAGGATTTTTTTTTTGTTGTTGAGGAAAATATGCTTCTAAGGTGTGTGAGAAAGTTTTACAAATTATATTTGAAGTTGCAGACCTGACTTTCAGTGGCCTTTAACAGCAAAGATCAGGAAGGAAACAATGCTTTTGATCATGTTTCAAGGACTGGCACATATCCTAGGCTTGAAGAAGTGGCTGGAAGCAGCTGCTTACTGTGGAACTAAGCTGTGACTCATTCTGGAAGTCACACAACAGTGAAAGGAAGAGAGGCGCCTTTAAAAGCCAGATGACACCCATGTGAATTTTGTAATAAAAAATGATTATTAATAGATGAATAAAGACTGTCCAATTGTATATCTCTTGATATGTTCTTATGTCTTAATGTCCAGTAAGAATAATAGAACATCGGTATGTCAATATAAGATGAATTTGGTCACTTATTTGTGTATAATTCTGTACATACAAACAGCTATGGTCATTTTTCTGACCACAGGGAAGCTATGACAGGATTTACAAAATACTCACTTTACTGCACTAGTCACATATAAGGACCTTCAATGATGCAACAAAATAAAACCTCTTTGATTTGTAATCACAAACATTTACAGATCATTTACTTTATGAACAGAAAGAAAAGGGGGGTGGTAGAGTCGGGTCGTCTCTCAACCGGAAGGTCAGGGGTTCGATCCCCAATTCCTGCAGCTACATGTCCCAAGTTGCTCCCAGTGCTTCAATGGCAGCATATGAATTGGATTAATTACTGGTAATACTGATGGGCACTTTACACAGCAGCCTCTGCCGTCAGTGTTTGAATATGTAGGTGTGACCTACAGCAGTGTCAAAGCGCTTTGAGTAGTTAAAAGACTAGAAAAGCGCTATACTAGCTCAAATCCATTTACCACTTACCAAAATTTGAGTCTTCTACACTTGGATCATTCTAGTGTTACCTCCCTGTTCAATCACAGAGTTAATTGTTTCCAGATACAAACCAACATGCCACAAAGGTGAGAAAGCTATTTGACACAAATTCTGACAGCATTCCTTAACTGTGAAAGTTTGATAAGGGAAAGCTATTAGAGTGAAAACCTTTAACTAGAATTGACCTATAATTGAAATACAAAAAGTATAGTAAACAAATTGTATATATATATCTAATTTCAAGTCCAGTAGTCTGACCAAAGTCTAGGGATTACTTACTGCTGCGAGAAATGAATAAATCCCTCTGCTTCACCCAGTACATCCACTTGTATGCACAGTGATAATATGGCTGAAAGCTGCTGTTGCTCATTCTTAAATTAGAAACATGAAATACATGCTTATGTACCATTCATAAATGTTGTATAAAACTCCATATATTAATTGAAAGTAGAGTAAGAAATGATTTTCACTAGCTTCCCTGTGGACTTACCATCATCATTATCATCATCATCAAAAGGCTATGATCTTCATCCTGGAGTACAAGTCAGCAGCAAGGACAAACATCTGGCTCTGGCTTCAAAAGAGAAGCTCCTAACAGCCACTTAGAGAAGGAGCCTTTGGAGTTGTATTTCCTTGTATTGGAAACAGGAAGAACAAATGTGAGTGGCCAAGCTTCTTTTTTTTTCCACATAAAGATTTGTGTAATTTAAAACAGAAAAGAAAAAAAGAGGGGGAGAATGATTTGACGTGCTGTTTACAAGTGTATGTAAAATGTACTTGGTATAAAAATAATGAGCATAAAAAAAAAAAAGATCCATCAACTTCATAAGTTCTTATCCACTTCTTGGGGCCTCTAGTGACATCACAACAGAGGACAGTGCTTCCTACATGCTTGGTTACACTTGTGGATAAGCAGTGTACCAGATGATGTCAGACACTACGTTCTCCCTGTGGTCACTGCTGTATCGGGGAGATGTAGAAAATGGACTGTAAAGCTTAGGCCCATTAAAAGCTTCTAAATATTTCATGCTTATGAGTGAAGTGATAGCCTGCTCCCCCCTGGCAGTACTTAACCTTGTGGTTATGTCGTGCGCTCCATGTACAGCGGCTATAGTCCTCTTTGCAACAGCTGTGGGTTCAAGTCTAACCTCAGCCCTTTGCTGGATGTCATCCCCTAGTATCTCCTCCCAACATTTCCAACAGTCTCTCTCAAGCTGTCCTATCTAATGAAGGCAAAAAGGCCAAAAAATAACTTTAAAAGGTCACATATTATCACCATGTTTTTCTAACACTAATCCCCACGAGAAAAGTCCATCCTCTCCGTCTTTTGCCTGATCCACTTTTCAGAAAATGTGTGCTCAAACATTATTTTTACAGTCTATGGCTCAAACAGGCTGTTTGGAGATTTTCCCTTTGTGACATCAAAAATGACAGTAACCCCGCCCCCAGGTGTGTGAGGGGGCAGCCATCTGTACCGTGCCGTACTCAAGCACGATTGGCCCCCCCACTACGCCATTCCCACACTGGCCATCACTTTCTAAAGTCCCAAGCCACAGCCACTTCCAGAGAGGGGGTGTGGTCAAACACAGCTCATTTGCATTTAAAGCTACAGACACAGACACAGCCTGTTCTGAGCAGGGCTGAAATAGAGTGCACACTAAAATACAGGATCAGAGTGGATTTTGGGGAGCTCTGAGACTTATTCAAACTGGTTTGAAAGGAGGATAAGAAGTTACCTTCAAAAAAAAACAACAACACAAAGTTCTTGTAACAAAACTTTTAATTGTAAAAAACAGAAATGACAACAGTATCCAAAAGAAAGACACAAATGTACCACAGAGTTCAAAATCAACATTTGAAACTATTGATTTGAATATTCAGCATTCTCTCTACCTTCAACTTCAAAAACCTCCGTTTATAAAATCTCTCATGAAATGGAAGCTTGTTCATCATCTTTTATCAAAACCGGGTGATGTTCATGAAGACCGTAAAACATGGTTCTCTTCCTGTCTGCTTAAAAAAGACACACCAGGCTTTTCAAAAAATACAATTCTGACAACATACACTGTTATAAAAAACAGCTCAACACTCAAACAACAAAGTCAACTCTTTTACAGGGTGCTGATGGGGAAGGACACATTTTCATATTCATGACGTGATTTCACTTTAAAGAGAGTGGGCGACAGAGAGAAGAGGTAGATGCATAAGAAGAGAATGTCAAAGTAATACCTGATGAATAACAACTTTAAAAGGGCTGCTGTATTTTTCAAGTGATACTACAGTGTTACGTCCATCTGTAGCTCCTACAGATTAAAAACACAAACTTGGGGCATGAAATCATTGTGATAACTTAAGACGATAAAATGTAATGAAACTGGTATTTGTTTGAGTGGCTTGGCTGGCATTGCCCTTTAAAAACCTATTAGAACTCTGGGTTTTACATTTTTCCTTAATGGCTTACATGGTATTTCAGATTTGCCTGTTAAAATGGAAATCTTAAAAAAAGGAAGTAAAAAAAGGAAAACCCCAAGTCTGAACCAAAGTTCAGGTAACAAACAGTTGACATCATTTCCCATTTCTTTTTGTCCTCTTAAGGATTCTAACCTGTACTTCTTTCCTGTTAGGGTTGGCACTCGAGGCAGTGTCTGGTGTCTCTGTTAGCTGAGGGAGGTGTGGAGGGGGAGTGGCTTGTAGAGAGATTTCTTTAATGGTTTTGCATGAAAATAACGCCTGACAATTTCACAAAACTTTCCGGATGAGCTGCGTGTGTAAATGCAGACGGCCATCTTTTTCACCTTTTCTTAATCCAGAGTTTTCTGCCAGCCCTCTACTAAAGTTTCCAGGTGAAATCTTGGTAAGCTAATGCTTGAACACAGGAGAATAAAGTCAGGAAAATTCACTGCTGGTGAGCAGGAGGGAGTGGTGAAGTTTATATCATGCAACAAATGAGCAGCCGGTGCCATTGTGGTGCATGCAATAGAGCAGTTTCATTCTATTTTTGGCTCACCAGTATGTTCCCTTAACTTGTTCATTGATTCTGTGAATGCATCCAATTACCCACACAGCATTGATATAAAGTAAATTGCCTTTAAAGGGTGGGACTTGAATTTCAGCAGCATCTTTTTAATTTCATTTTATGCCTCCTTAGACCCACCCCCTCCTGACATGTGTGAATAACAACACAGGAAGATTCTGAAATCTGACAAATGATCAGCTGTGTGCATTTTCATAGTTGCAGACTATGAATGCAAACAGTCTTGTCATGTGTATGTTTGTATATATTGTATATGTGTTTGAGGTCCTCATATGTTTGAGCACGTTCCTCTGTGTGTGTGTGTGTGGGGGGGGGGTTCCTCAGCAGTTGAGAATGGATCTGTTTCTGTCCGGCCTGAAGGGGAACACAGGGCTGTCAGAGTCGACCTTCCCTCTGTGTGGACCCAGCGTGGCAACGGCCTGGAGGACAACACACACACATGGCTGTTAAAAGACGCCCACATACACACACTTATACCACCAGGGATCTGTACTTTCTTAGCATATAAAAATATTATAAGATGTATAGCTTGAATCAGTCATTGTTGTAGGATTATGTTTGTACCAAAAATCAAAGAAAATCAAAATGTTCTGGTGCTCTCTGAACACTCTGATCCTTCCCCTCTCATGTCAGAAGGCGGTGCTATTATACAAGTTGATCTGTCATCTCAGGCACAACCCGCTCGGGGGCAGATTAGGTGTGTACTGTGCAGCATAAATTACTATGGCAATGTACCCCCACTGTTATAGCTTTTATATACACAAGTCTAACCTGATGTCACTTTGTAGTGCAGGACAAAAAATCCCATCAAACTCAGAAGACACATTTACACACCTTTCTGATTGCTGTCCAGTCCTCCAGGATGTCCAGGTCAGGCAGCATGTAAACAATATATGGACGTGAGCGTGGTTAAGGGTTGTGACATGAAGAGCGGTCAGGATATACTTTAATACCAGTAGTTGAGATCCACATAAAGTATCCATGTACATGACAACAGCTGAAGGATATCAGACACCACTGAAGGTCGTCTCTTCTTCTTATCTGGACTACGTGCATCTCTCCTCTTCTTCCTTCCTGAAAGCTCGTCGTTCCACAGCTCTGATAGAGACACACAGAGAAACACAGATTAACATGTGGTGAACATAAGTGCTGGATGTGTGTCCTTATAACTGTGATTAGATTTGTTCCTATTGAGTTGCACATGCACGACGAGACATTATGTAATCACTATTTTCTGAAGGCATTACCTGATGTAATATCTATGCTGTGTCTGTCCTCCTCCAGCCGTCTGATTTTCTCCTCCAGTTCACTCTGTACAGTGTCAAAGAGCAGCAACTTCTCACTCTGCACACACACACACACACACACACACACACACACACACACACACACACACACACACACACACACACACACACACACACACACACACACACACACACACACACACACACACACACACACACACACACACACACACACACACTATGAGCAGCTGTATTAAAATGTTGTCAGATAAGCTTTAAATAGAGTCATAAAGAAGCCTTTTCACAGCAATCATAAAGTGCATCTACGTTTTATCAGCGTCTAACTTTATTGGTTTTGACCTCCAGCGTTCACTCTGACCACAGCTATATTTACTTCCTCTTCCTCTTCATCTCTGTCAATGAGTGTGAGCAAGTGTTCAGTAATAATAGAACCTGCTGGTTACTGTTTTTACCAAGACTGTAACAACGCACTATATTTGAGCCTGACAGATTTAAGTCTTTTAGGGGTATATCATAAACATGTACCAGTAGATCTCTGCATTTATGTTCAATTAAAACTTTGACCAAAAACAGTAGGCGAAAAAAGTGTGCTTTTGTGCATCCATCCTCGCAAAGACCAACTTAGAGCTTTCATTATGTGCTCGGCCCTCAAATGGTAGAGGTTATGATTGTAAACTGTGCATAAGATGTGAAGATAGCCAAAGGGTCTGAAAAGCTAAGCTAGGGCTGACCTGCCTTACACCAGATTTTTTTTTTTTTTTGTTGCTGGCAAGAAGCAACACCACTGGTCCTTTGACTTGAGTTAATACCCTGTAGTAGACACAACATTCGAAGAGGTTTGGTTTCCTTTTTGTTGTTAAGTACAAAAACGCTAGCCACAGCATTAGCTAATTACATAGTTTTTGCAAACCCTTTGGCTTCTCTCTTCTTCCTCCCTCTTGTCAAAACTGTAAAGCCTTGATTTTAAGGTTAGGGTAAAGGTTATGATTATTAAGGCCTATGTCAATGAAGAGCATCCAGAGTATAAAAGCACAAATATCTTTTGCATGTGTGGGTGCGTGTCTGACCTCCCAGTGCTGACATGCCGCTTGGGTCTCACACTCATACTTGTTCTTCACAGACTCCAGACACAGCTCTCTGTAGATACCTGAAAAAGCCAGAAAGGAAACATAGAATTGAATAAGGGGTCCAGAGCCTGAAAGACTCTTTGATTGAGGTGTCCGTGTGTTGAAGTTACCTGCCACCTTGGTGCGGACCTGCATGTTTTCCAGCAGCACTGCCAAAGGCTCCAGATATTCTGCTGCCCGGCCGGCCTCCACCTCTGACAGCTTGCTGTTCACCTGGCTGAGACGTTCACGATACAGCCTGCACACAAACACAGATATGAATTTATCTATTTTACATTCCATGCTTTTAAAGTTTCATGCAAAAAAATACTAGTTTTAATCTTAGTCTTACTGGTCTTTGAGATCTGTGAACTGTTTCTCTAGGTTCGTCATTTCATCAAGACACTCCATCCTCCTCCGCTCACAATCTTCCTCATCCATTTCTGGTACATCATTAAGACACACAAACACAAACACAAATTCTTATTTGAACTTGTTCAGACTACACTGTGTTGATGTTGTAATAACTTTAATTGCTACAGTTAAAGCATTTCTAACCAGAGGTGTCTCCATCCTCAGAGACAGAGGAGGTGTCAGAATCCTCCTCCTCTGAGCTGGATGCATCCTGCTCCTGCTCCTCCACCTCCATCTCCTCTGCAGTACTTTCCTTCTTCTCGCGGTCCCGGTGCACCGGCATAGCAGCAAGTCAACTTCAGACTGGTAGTGCTGCATAGAAAGATAATATTAGTCTTTACAATTTATAGTTTTATGTTGTCATTTTTAGTGTTTGAGTTTTATTGAGCTACTTGGTTGTTTGTCTGTCTTTATGTTTAAAATGAATTAATTGTTTCACCAATGTTTCTCTGGGATCAATCTGGGCCATTGATGGCATGTTTGACCCCATAGGACTGTAGGGTGGGGGCACAGCAACGTCTTACATATAACTTTTATATAGACTTTATTGCATTGTTACACTTTACATCCCCTGGGGACTGTGGGGAGCATTATTACCTGCCCTGTACTACAAAAAAGTTCATGATGTACAGGTATTATAACTGATTGTTTCCTATCTCCATGATTAATCATTACTGCAGACTCAGAATTTAATTGACACAGACACACACGAATGTCTTTTTGGAATATAGACATGAGATTATATATGTAAGAATATTATTGGCTGCGCAAATTAATGACAGATATCTAAAATGACATTTTTACAAATACATCCATTTCATTTCTTTCAAATATAATAGTATAACATTGCTGAATAGTCTATACAAAACATTCATAAGGTTGAAGAATGAGCATGACTGCAGTATAAGAAAACAAAAGGTCCAGAGCTTAAATTGGATATTGGTACATTTCCGAGTTTACATTGATAAAACATTACGCCTTCTTATGTTTAACATGAGCAAATAACACAGGAATGGGTGAAAAACAATATTCTGCATTCTTCTATATTGTGAAGATTGATCTTTACGATCCTTTCTTTCAATATTGTGAATGACACTGTGTACCATTATTAAGTACCCATACAAATAACGATAGCTGCTGTTTACTTTATTATATTTAAAATACATTATTTGCAACGCAATTTTAAATTACTAGTCTTTTTATATGATTTTAATTCGGAAGATTAGAAAACACGTACGACAACACACCATGATAACACTACTTTATCGTGTTAGCAAGCCACTATGGCTAGGTAGTAAGCAATGTTAGCTCATTTTTTAGAGAAAAGTAACATAAAAGGTCACATAAAACTACATTTGAACTTACAGGATGGGGTCGCGCAGGACGTTTGGCAAGAATTTAACAGAAAAAGGTAGTTTCCCTCGGTAACAATTTCACTCGTGTGGCCAAGCTAAAGCTAAAAACAAATCTCAATAGAGCGCTCTTATTTTCATAGGGAAATGTAGTTTTTCTCTGACGTTTATATTTACATCACTGAAGGTCCAATAACCTGCTTTAAACTTCGTTACCCATAATTCCGCACTGTAGCTTCAGGATGAATTGTGGATAAGCGTTCAAAAGTTAAAACACCATTCAATTATGGAACTCTTCTTGGACATAAATATAATCCTACGCAGTTTTACAACACTCATACTTGATAATGTTAAAAATACAAAACAAACAGTTTGCTTGTTGTTTTATTTTGACGTTGAATTGCTCTGCTATCCATTATTTTGTTTTCCCTCCTCCGCCATGATGTTTTCTAAGTGAACAGCGGAGCTAGCTAAGCAGCTACTTTAGCCTTCAGGCTGCGGACTGTAGTGGACGGGAGGTGCGATGGATGGATGCTTTGCCCCGCTACGTTTTTCATGATTTTTCTTGGAATAAACAGGATGCTCCTCCCTAGACATCAGTCTCCCCTTAATACACTCTGCACTGTTATGGAGGGGTTCTAACTCGTAGCTTGGCGTTAATAGATGATCAAGGAGCAAAGGATTAACCCAAGCTGAGGCTACACAGCTAGCTCTTCTTTACTGTCTAACATCACATTCGTGTGTCTCCTGTCCCGGGAATGTTCTCCAAAAAGCCTCATGGGGACGTTAAGAAATCAACACAGAAAGTGTTGGACCCAAAGAAGGACGTGTTGACGAGGTTAAAACATCTAAGAATTGTCATAGGTAAGTTAAAAATCATGAAGCAGTTAACAGGTTAGCCTCATATCAATCTGTGCCACATTCAAACTCCCCTCGGAAATCACCACATTTAAAGTTGCATTGTTTTTAAAAACAGATTTACGACATTTAACTATGTTTTAACCTTTAGTCCAATGTGAAGCGTTGGGTCAAATTTTACCAAATTGTTCATCCTTAAAGTTCTGCCTTTCTATAAACCCAGAAGGACTGTGTATACTGATGACAGTAAATGATTTTAGAAAGATATGAGGCTAGCTATGTGCGCGGCTAAAGAAGAAGAACTGTGTGTAACTGGTTGTTGTGTTACTTGTCATATATTTGAAAGGTTCTTCTTTATCTCTGGGTTTTCATTACCGTGTGTGGAGCTGCCTGCATCAAAGTCAGTCACTGTGATCAGGCTGTTTTGATTTTGTCCTGGGGTGTGTCTGAGTGCTCGACAAAGACCTGGTGTGTGAGAAGTGCTCAGGGTTTTTTTCAGTAGCATGTGTTGTGTAGAATCACGTTAAATGTGTGGGAGAATAAGGAGTATGTCACTGTAAAGGGCATCAAATAATAAGTGATCTAGTTAGTGCCTGTGCTGTGTGTATTTTTCTCTGACACACACTGGTTCTCAAAGGACACACCCACAACTCCACACACACACACACACACACACACACACACACTCTGACCTGAGAAGGAAACAAGCTCTACTATTTCCTTTCCTTGTCAGCATACAGTAGCCCAACTTCCTGTTTCTATTGTAAGAGCTTCTGGACTCTCTCTCTCTCTCTCTGTGTGTGTGTGTGTGTGTGTGTGTGTGTGTGTGTGTGTGTGTGTGTGTGTGTGTGTGTGTGTGTGTGTGTGTGTGTGTGTGTGTGTGTGTGTGTGTGTGTGTGTGTGTGTGTGTGTGTGTGTGTGTGTGTGTGTGTGTGTGTGTGTGTGTGTGTGTTGCAGGATGGAGGGAGAGGGGTGTGCCCCTCTCTTTGCTCTTTTGGGAACACAAGACCTTGATAACAATCGCAGAGGCAAACACACTTTAAGGCATTTTGTTGAGAAGGAATGCTCAGACAGCTTAACAATAGAAACACAGTTTTAGAGCATGGCTGACCATCTCTCAAAGAGAATGCATGAGGGTACTATTAGTCCAGATAAGAATTTATAATGATCAATGCTGCTTTGTGACAAACAGGCTAAATGTTGCTCTCCACTTTAATAGTTACTTATCCACTAAGCACATGTTGTTCATGTAGCCATCATGCTCTTTGGAATATGTTTTCACTGAAGACCCTCCCCTGAAAAGTGTTCACCTTGTTCCATTGTAGGAAACAGAGTGTTGGGTCATTTTCTATTTCGTAATGCAACAGTTCAAACCGGATCTGACAGAATGGGTCAACAAAAAAACACAATTTCATCACTTTGCAATCCCTTTGATGCAATCAGGTTATTAAGTAACTGCACCCAAACACGTTTGGCCCTGTCGTTGCTGCCAGAACAAATGAAAGCTGTAACAGTAATAACTGTAAAAGCTTTCCTCAGTTGTTTTTAGGATAATCACTTCACCTTGACTGCATTTATAACGAAGAACTAGCCATCATGTTAATGTTTGTGTGCTTTTTAACTCTGTGTAATAAAATCTGTTAAGGTTAACCCATTAAATGACAGAAGATGCCATCTAAATCAGAGTACAAGTTCATTGTCAAAAGTCAAACTTTCTCTTCCACTGATGAAGAACTTGCCACTTTAAAATGAGTCAGAGATCTTCTTTAAGTTAGGCATGGGAACATGCAGTTTAGACAGCATCTTTTTCACATACTAGACCTTTCTTGTCTGGGATTTTTGAGACCAATGCAGACTCATATTTAGGAATTAAAATGAAAACAGATTACTAAAACAACAGCTGATAGAGTCACTTTTTGAGAAAGATACTGCAGACAGTTCTGAGAGTATTTTAAACCATGGACTTTGAATAGACTCTGCTAGACAATCTATATGATAACACCATTTCTGAATCACCCAGAGCATTGTTTTAAGCAATACATGTTTTGTTAAAAAAATATTTTTTTTTACATCGCAGCATAATGCTAAACACATATGCTGAAACCTAAATATTTGTAAAACATGTTGCCATGGTGATTAGGGCTTGGTAATTCCCACAATCCCATGATACATATCACGATACAGAGGCTACGATATGATACATATTGTGATATTGAGTTTGGATAATGACCATGCTCTACACAGAACTTACTACAACAGCTGTTCTTTATTGTTGAGAATAACAGCAGAGGGATATCAAGGATCCTACAACTGAAAACACTTCAAATCAGATCCTCAGAGATCCTAGAAATACATTCAAATATTTGAATCCCAGAGTTGTGGCTATGGTGTTATTATGAACTGCACCATAGGTCAGTTGTCTTTCAAAAAGATCATCTCAGCTTTGCAGCCACATTGATTCTGTAACATCTGCATCCATACGTGTATTTGCAAGAAGCACATGATGATATCGATTTTCTGTGCACAGCCTTAATGGTGATGCTGTCAAAAATCCAAATAGCTCTCCCGACCGTTTATTTGTAAGTTAATCACTTAACCTTGACTGCATTTATATGGAAGCTTTTTAAACACTGTGTGATGGGATGAGATAGACTAATACAAAACTAGCCAATCACAGCCAATCTAGTACATTTTTGAGCTTGTACAGAAGCTGCAGACAGCGATGAGAGAATTGTCAACCATGGAGATGCAGTTTACTCTTCTGGTCAAAGTTTTAATTGAACATAAATGCAGAGATCTACTGGTACATGTTTATGATATACCCCTAAAAGACTTAAATCTGTCAGGCTCAAATATAGTGCGTTGTTACAGTCTTGGTAAAAACAGTAACCAGCAGGTTCTATTATTACTGAACACTTGCTCACACTCATTGACAGAGATGAAGAGGAAGAGGAAGAGGAAGTAAATATAGCTGTGGTCAGAGTGAACGCTGGAGGTCAAAACCAATAAAGTTAGACGCTGATAAAACGTAGATGCACTTTATGATTGCTGTGAAAAGGCTTCTTTATGACTCTATTTAAAGCTTATCTGACAACATTTTAATACAGCTGCTCATTGTGTGTGTGTGTGTGTGTGTGTGTGTGTGTGTGTGTGTGTGTGTGTGTGTGTGTGTGTGTGTGTGTGTGTGTGTGTGTGTGTGTGTGTGTGTGTGTGTGTGTGTGTGTGTGTGTGTGTGTGTGTGTGTGTGTGTGTGTGTGTGTGTGTGTGTGTGTGTGTGTGTGTGTGTGTGTGTGTGTGTGTGTGTGTGTGTGTGTGTGTGTGTGTGTGTGTGTGTGTGTGTGTGTGTGTGTGTGTGTGTGTGTGTGTGAATCTTTTCAGTTTTCACACTGATCTATTCCTCTCCAAAGGCAGCCAGTTGTGTTTACAGTCAGAGATAGATCAGATGCTGGTAAACCTCCCCTCCTTAAAAAGCAGTTTCTCTTATGCTGCAGCCGAGCGGGCCTAGACCGAGTCCTCTGGGTTTCCTGCACATTTAGAGATCCTGCAGAGAGGTGACTTTACTTCCTGTAATGAAGGTCAGAAATGTGTTGTCTTCACAGCAGGGATTTGTCTCTTAGTTAAATATGTGTTTAGACTAAAAATAGAGCAGAGCAGTGTCACTGTTCAGTTGTCTGTCTCTCTTTCCTCTTGATGTTTTTATAGATATATATTATTTCATCTTTTTTCTCTGACTTCCTCTCTATCCAGAAAATGCAGAGCCGGCTGAGTTGAAGCAGTTCTTCGACCTGAACTACTCTCATATCTATTATGTCTTCTTTGAGAACTTTGTCACCATCGAGGTCAGCCTCAAGCAGAAAGGTAAGTTTGAATCACTGGTAACATGAGAACAAGTTAAAGCAGCCCCTTACTGCTCTGTGTGTACATATTTTAGTGACATCATTTATCCCTGTTTTGTAATGTGTGTTTGTCAGGTCACAAGTCTCAGAGGGAGGAGCTGGACTCAATCCTCTTCATCTTTGAGGTAATGAAATATTATCAGTAGGGATGCGAGTTGAACACTGAGCTGATATTGTCTCTGTTGACAGACAGCAGCACATCTACTCAGAAGGTGGAATGATGATGTGAATCTCTTGTGTGACATCAGTTTAATGCTGGCAAGCTAGTATAGTTTTGAATTTTGAAATACTTTATTAAACCCTGAGGGATATTCTGGTTTTACACTCTGTTATTTTAGAGACATGCTTCTCACACACAGGCCTGAGTCACACACACATGCACAAACAGGAGCTGTGGACATACATCAGTGGAGAGATGTCAGAGTGGGGCTGCTACACGGGGAGCACACCTGAGCGGTTTGGGGTTCGGTGTCTTGCTCAAGCACGCCTCGGCTGTTCTCGGAAAGTGCCCTGGCACCTCTCCAGCTACCAGAACAACTTCCATATTTTTGGTCCGCACCAGGACTTGAACCGGCTCCCAAACCAAGTCCCTACAGACTGAGCTACTCCCGCCCCAAATACCTAATTTACTGTACCTAATACCTAACTTCAGAATCAGAGAAGAGGTTTGGTATTACTCTGAAGTCCGATTTGTTGACATGGTCAAAAGTTAAAGAAAACCTAAGACTTGTTCCAATGACATTTCAAGAGAAGGGACTGCTTATAGAATTAAAGGAATATCAAATCATATAGCTCATCTTTGCCAAGAAGTAATGGGAAAAAAAACAAACATTGGAATCTGCAATCAGCTTATTTGTTATTTGAAATATCGGTATCAGCCCTGATTTTTACTATGGGTGCAATCTCTAATTATCACAAACTTTCAAAATAAAAGTGATGAAAACTGTTACAACAGAATGACAGAGTGAAGTTCTGATATATTATGTTATTGTGTTGGAGTCTTTGTCAGCACCAGCTGGCATTGACCTCGGACTCAAACCACTGGCATCTAGCAGCGCTCGGGACTGGGTGGTGGTGTTTAGAGTAGCCAGGATAAGATAGCAGAGACAACATGTGAGTTGACCTTCATTTGGCCCCACACACTCTTTTGAATTCTGAACAAGTCAGAGCAGAGCAAAAAGTCCAGTGTGTAACTAGATAACAAATACTCTCTGAATGTACTGTAGGTTTTCCATTTACTCAGAAGTTTTCCATTATGAAAAAAAGGTTAAGAAGGAACATTAAAAAAGTGAAATGTGTGATGTCATAAGGTGGATATTACTTTGGACTTGTCAGCTTAACTGAAATGACAGGCTCATCTTTGGTGCACCTAAAGGGACAAAATAGCATGTGATAAATGCATCAATTACAGACCTCACAATAAACTAGTTAAGTTTTTGTGTTATTTCATTCTTTATTTGTGTTTTTTTTTGTTGTTTCCTATTACTGCCCCCCTTTTTTTACTACTGTTAAGGGTCCTTGGGTTTCTTGGAAGGCGATATATAAATCCAAACTATTATTATTAGCTAATACTGACAGCACTTCTCTTATAGTTTTTTTTTTTTTTTTTGCTTTTTCCTCCAGAAAATTCTCCAGTTGCTGCCAGAGAGAATCCAAAGCAGATGGCAGTTCCACAGCATCGGTAACTTACACATGTGTTTACTGTATATCTGTTTCATCCTAGCGGACAGTTTGTTATTGAACCTAGTTGAATAATTCCTGGGCAGAGCTGCAACTCTTGTGGGAGAATATTTCATGTGATGTCAGCATTAATGTAAAGACTAATATTCTCATTAAAGCATCATATAGCGGACCTTTTTGGCTTTCCTCGGCTACTTCCGCAACATATTGTTTAAGTCACATCTTACCACACCTTACCTTGTACGTTTTGAAGGTGTATCTGTTTATTAATATTTGAAGGCCGAAACCTTAAGTTAGAGACTCTTTGCGATTTTGTTTGAATGTCCAGTCTGACACTTTGTCCTCTCTTAGGTCTGATCCTGAAGAAGCTGCTGCACACTGGGAACTCTCTAAAGGTACTGAAGCTCTGATTGTAGCTCTGCTGCGTCATGGCCTTGTGTTTTTATATTCACACTTTCACGCTCTTCATACCTATCCTGCATCTCTCTCCTTTAGATCCGCCGTGAGGGCGTGCGCTTGTTCTTGCTGTGGATGCAGGCGTTACAGAGTCATGCGGAGCGCGAGCAACTCTGCATGTTTGCCTGTTTGATTCCTGGCTTTCCAGCTCCTCTCTGCCACGGGACCCCGCGCACACTGGACACCCTGATCAACCCGCCTCTGAGTTTAACAGAGAGTTAGTATGAAACACTGAAAACACTGTATTTTCAACAGTAACCCCGTGTGCGACCGTAGAACATAACAAACCTATTTTGCAGTAAACATTTAACCTCTCTCATGTTCCCCCCACCCCCCTGCAGCTCAGGTGACCCCAGAAGAGATCACTCCATTGGTTCCTCCTCAGTCAGGTGACAAGAACCAGGAAGACCTCACTGCTTACTTTCTAGAAGCGCTCCTTAAATACATGGTAAACCAGGTATTATCACCTTTTTCTTACTAACACAGCTAACACTACATAATTACACTTCTCCAAAGTTGAGATTCCTCACGTTTGTCACCAATCCTGAAAATACAGGACAGAGCACCCACACAAGAATCACCTAATCCCTTACATTTGACTAACTCATTCAAATGCACATTTAAAAAAATGACTGAACTGAACAGACATTGTTTCTGTGTTTCCTCTTTTCTCTCTCGCTCACTCACACACACACACACACACACACACACACACACACACACACACACACACACACACACACACACACACACACACACACACACACACACACACACTGGTACTCTACACACTGGTTGGCATTCTCCACTAAAACAATGGTGCTCCTCTCCACTTGACCCTGTTTTCTGTGTGTATTGTGTTCTCTTTGTAACATGAGCTCGTTTGTCTTTGTGTGTGTGTCCACCAGGCCAAGTCTCTCGAGTGGCGTTGTAAAGACAACCACGAGCGAGGCTTCAACTTCCTCTTTGGTCACTTTAGGAAGTTTTACCTTCCTCACATCTTTCCCAACTTCGCCATGGAAACCAGCCTATACAATCCAATACTAGGTCAGTTACAGTAGAGCGTCAACAGCTGTTAACCCTTTTAGTTGTGTAGTATGTATGTGTTATCGTTACCCTACATCACTTGAATCGAGGGTTTCCTCTCACCACGCAGACGTGCCTCCGATGCGTCCCAAGCCATATTACAGCGTGCTGCGAAGGGAGCAAGATGGCGGCGAGCCAATGTACTGCACCAAGGAGAGCTTCCTTCAGGCCCGGGTCATCTTCATACGCTGGCTGGTGTCCTTCTGGCTCGAGCCACGACCTAACACTCAAACACAAATCCCAGGAACAGAGGGGGAGAACGTGCCAAAGAACATACAGGTAACACAGACCTTCCAGGAGGAAGTGTGGCTCCAGTCACATGTCTCATTTTTGTTCATGTTGTAAGGTCTGAGTTGGTAAATTACGGGCCTGTCATTTTGGCCTTGGGCGACTCATTATGGTAATTGAATATAGAATTTTCATAAATGCCGCATGAAAATGTTGGCCAGGTGACTGAAAAAGTTGTCACCAAATCATCTAACATTGAACTGGCAGAGTGTTTCAGCAAGTGTGATTCATTTGTTACTCTATAAGCTCTGCAAACTGTAAATGGCAAATTACAGTTGTACAACTGTTCTGTAGGAAAACTCTGAGAAACATCTTCTTTCAAAACTTCCAAAGACGGCAGAAGAAGAAGACAGCACTGCCCTGTTTACTGTTTGTGCCAAACTTACACATGACATGTGGACCCCAGGCAGAATAGCTGAACTCTAGGGTACAGCTAATGGAGATCCCAACAAATAAATCCTAATAAATAAAAAAATGAATAAGTTTCTTCAACATGCTGTGTGTCTTTCTTCATAAGATCTAAAAGGTTATTTTCTAAATGTTGTCACCGCTATGTTAGAAGAAATGTCATCATCTCATGTTGTAATGCCGTTTTGTATTTTCTTTTTAACTCCATTAAAGGCTTTATATGTGATTTTTTGATCCAGCAGATGTCGCCCTTGAGCACCAGCATGAAACCAAAACAACTCGTGCTGCATTGTTGTGTTAGCATGCTAATGCTAACGATCTTTATTCTGCTGGTATCTTCACACTGCATGTAAATTTACCTGAAATGAGTGTGATCTAGAAACACAGTTAAGCAGTGAGTACAGTATGTTATTCTTCTTTTCTCTAGTCCCTCAATTAAACAACTTTTATACACGAGGGGAGGAGTCAGCCAGCTGGCTGTCCCGGCGATGTAAACAAAGTGAAGATATGACTCTGAAAACTCTGAAAACATCACAGACAGTGGGACTCGGGTGTTACACCCATTGTAGACAGTCATGACTCACAGAGTTATTTTCAGAGGAGATACTTGATTTATATTACATTTAAGAGAGAAAAATCACATATTAAGACTTTAAACAAAGTGAAAGTGATAAATAAATGTTAACAGTTTGTCGATGTTATTACAGTCTGTAACAACACTGATTAAAAAATTAACCTTGAGTGGCTTTTACTCCAGCTATGAAATAATTCCATTTCATATAAAAATAATGAATAATCTTAGGAATATTCCACAACAGGTCTTTGAGCTGCAAACTAACAATAAGAATGAACCCCAGGTACTTAAAACAGTCAAAATTTGATGGCAGGAAAGAATACTTAAATATCAGGAAAAGACTGACAACATTTAACTCAGACCTCTGTCAATTTATGTCTTTATTTGTGTTTGTTTTCCCATTTCACTGACTGACTATCGTGTGTTCTTTCCCTCTAGCGAGCTGCAGCAGGGCTGGCGGCTCGCTCTGCAGGCAGCTCAGACGACAGCGGTGGAGGTGGGATGCGGTCTGACAGCCACCTGGAGGGAAGTGGAGGCTCATCTGGGTCGGGCGGAGGCAGCATGGGGATGTCTGGGTGTTCAGGGATCGGAGGTGAACCCGAACAGAGCCACTCCAACACCTCCACGCTCACAGAGAGGGAGCCCAGCTCCTCCTCGCTCTGCTCCATGGATGAAGAGCAGCTGACTGACATGGAGGTGGTGAGGAGGGTACTCACCTGCTCCAGAACCAACGTGAACTTCATCACAGAGATCTTCAGACAGGTGAAATAGACTTCATTATATTCCTTTTCAAATATCAAACTTTTGGGTGCAGTATCAGGAGGGCAACTTTCCTTATGCTCTTCTTATAATATGATCATGAAAAGGCCACTTTGTGTTTTATGTCTGAATATTTGTCTTGTCAAATCCAGGCGTTTCTCCTTCCCATGTGCGAAGCCGCAGCGATGCGTAAAGTGGTCCGTGTTTACCAGGAGTGGATCTCCATGGAGGACAGGCCAGTATTTATGAAAGAACCAGAGGAGGGCCCCTATCCCATAGCCACAGGCGGCAGTCTGGACTCAGGCTCTCAGCACGGAGACAAGGACGACGAGGTGAGGAGTGAGCTGAATGAGTGACAGCACTGTTAAGCAAAGAGTAGATTCCAGAGGGCAGAGGAGGTGTTACACTATGTTGTCCAGCATCCTTTAGTTTTGTTGTTTGTGTTCACATTCACAATGTATTGCTGCCATGCTGATTTTCATAAATGACCCTGTGAGACGCCTGCTTGAAAAAAAAACTTTATTGGTCTCAGTGGAAAAGATAATGCTTGTTAGTTAAAGAGTCAGCATTGATTTTTTCTTTTTTTCTTTTTTACGTTTATGCCTTTATTTAAAGGGATACTTCACCTGTTGAAACATGAATCTGTATTGACATTGGGTCATATATGTAGAAATGTGAAATACATTTTGAAGTTGGTGCCTTCTTGACCGAGAAAAGGCAGAAAGTGTCTTTTTGGCTCATGGATGAAAGACACCAAATCCCAGAATGCACAGCACCGCAGGCCACGCCCACTAAGGTCCTCTATTTCAGAATCAGAATCAGAAATACTTTATTAATCTGATCGTTAAGAAATTTGATCGTTACAGTTTCTCCAAAATATACAGTATAGCAGTAGAAATATATTAATACATTTTTTTACAGACATATTTACTTTCCAGGCCGTTTCCTCAACTGATTCAGAGATTTCTTCCAGAATTGATCTTGGAAATTCCTGTCAGAAAACAGACTCTATGTCTGTGTCCATAGGCAAACAGTGAGAGCACCGACACTACCAGTCCGCCCCAGCTCGAGCCGGCCCGGTGGCAATATAGCCGTGAGACAGTTGCTGCCGACAGGCCGGTCTTGTGTCTTGGCTGCTGCGGCGAGCGCCGGCCCCGGCGGTCAAAAATATGAGGAACTAGCGTTGTAGTTTCACCCCGCTAACCGCTAACCTTTTCAGACTTAGAAATACAAAGATTTCCCATCTCAGGGGAAAATGAGGGCGGGCCACCCGCTTGGAGGACTACAGCATTCGTACATAGGGGGCACGTGCACTAACCCCTAGGATATACGCACTGAAGCATTTCTGAATCATGTTACTGACCCGTAGACATAGTCAGTCAAGCAGCAGCGACGTACTCTGTTTTTTCTTTTAATGAAGTATTTCAAAGTCATCTTTCTGGTCATTTCTGTTTTTGGCATCATGAAGTATGGCTAAGTATGTTTATTTGTATCAGTAACCATTAGTATCTCTGAAATGATGTAATGTACATCATCATGGAACTTGAATGTCTGTGTGTTTTATCTCTATCAGGGAATGCACAAAGTGGTCGACAGTGAATTGTTGGAGTACAGTGTTCATGCTGGAGTTCAGACTACACTACAGGTATGTCTGTCTTTCTGTCCACTTCATACACACACACACACACACACACACACACACAGAGTACTTCTGTAAGTTTACTAGTTTGATAATAGTTTGTGGAGTCATTTCACATCAAACCTGCTCGTCTCCTTTTCAGGTATTTATCACCCACTCCTCAAACTGTTTCCTTTTGGAGCCAGCTAACGACATCAAGATCCTTTTAGAGGAGCATGTGGACATGTGCAAGCGAGTCCTGAACATCTACCGAAGCCTCGTCATGCACGAGACTATGGACCAGAAGACATGGTAAAAAAAGAAAAGCTGCAGGACATGTGATACACAAAATAAACAACAGATACCAAACACTAGAAGACACGATAAAACACCGTCTGAATACTGGTGTATCATGGAGTTAAAGGCTTTCTCTTTTGTGCTTGTTTTGTATAAATGTGTTTTAGGGAGCAGATTCTGTTAGTTCTGCTGAGGGTGACAGAGTCAGTGATGAAGAGACCTCCATCCATCATGCCCCATGGGAAGAAGAGCACCACACTGTCAGGCAGGCTGGCTGGACCTATATTTCAGGTAAATCCCAATCACCATATCAAACAGGCCAGAGGTTTTACCAGACAAAATATTATCCATGTGATTAAAGGAGACAGAATTGTCCTTTAAAGGCTTTATATGTGATTTTTCACACTTAAATGTAATATAAATCAAGTATCTCCTCTGAAAATAACTCTGTGAGTCATGACTGTCTACAATGGGTGTAACACCCGAGTCCCACTGTCTGTGATGTTTTCAGAGTTTTCAGAGTCCTATCTGGCTAGGAAACAGATTGTGCTCTGACCAGTTAAAGGTGTACTATGGAGTTTTGGTAGAGAAATGTGTAAGTTAGAAAAGTGTACAGATTCTTTGGTATATGTTTATAACTCTAAACACAAACTGTTCCTCAGGGGAACATTTGGTCCCTGGAACACTGTTTGAAGATAAAATGCTACTCCAGAAGTTATGGTGGGGGGTCCACAACAGTGAAGCCGTAACTCTCCTGGTAGCTTTTAAGCTCTAAACCGTGTTCCAGGGACCCTAAAGTTTTTAAAGGAGTAAAGTTTGTGTATTCAGTTTTGAAAATATGTCGTAAAATTATTTCACTAGAAAATATAACATAGAAATACTTTACTGCTCCAACTTTTAAATTTCACCACCAAGTGCACTCCATAGTGCACCTTTAACCTCTCAGACCCCCTCAGGTACAGTTTTTATTTTCCTACACAATCCAAAAAAAAAAAAAGAAAATCGGAATTGACAATAATAATTTGGTACTAATCATGTAGCATGAAGCTGCAGAAACAAGTGTAAGTCATCAAATATAATCACTGATCTCACAATGCAATGTTTACGAGAGGTGCCAGATATTGACAACAACTTGGACTACCTTCAATGCAAAGTTTGGACTTTTATTTTCTGTGTAATCTGCTCCAAATAGATTTTTTAGGTATTATTTTATGACTCATCAGTATAAATCACATTAAAGCTACATGCTGGGTTTATGGCAATATTTGAATTATCCAATTAGTCAATCATTTTCACATGTCTCAGGCACGTAAATGTAGTATTGGTCTTTTCTACAAAAAGTATAATATTGATAGTAAACAGTCATGCCTGTAATAAGATATGATTATAATATTTACATAAACAGTTATTTTCTTTATGACTTCTTAGAGTTTAATTGTATATCACAGTTAACAAGTATTTATCTTAAATATGCAGCTTGAAGGCAAACTGTCATTTCACTCTCTTTCATGTCTTACTCTGCAGACTCTGATAGTAGCCTGGATTAAGGGGAACCTAAACGTCTACATCAGCAGAGAACTGTGGGACGACCTCCTCTCTGTTCTGTCCTCTCTCACCTGCTGGGATGAACTGGTCACTGAGTGGTCACTCACCATGGAGACCCTCACCAAGGTACTGAACCTCAATGTAGTCATGTAATACTCCAACTGTTATACTCAGACTGTGTATGGTTATTCATTAGAATTCATTTGGGAACTTTCCCTGTCAGAGGGGAGGGGCCGCGGGGGATTTCCTGACGTAAAACGTGACGTAAATAAACAACGAGAAAGTAGCAGCCGAAGCAACAGAGACCGCTACACGACGTTATAGTGACAATATTTGTCTTTCTATCAATGCTATGTGTAATCCAATGGAATGACAACATCCACAAAAGAGAGGAGAACAACATACTGACGAACAGAAACATAATGCAGACGTTTAATTAGAGCATGGAGATCGTAGTGGTCGTGCAGACACTTTAGCCGGTCACTGTATATAAACATCATTCTCTTTCTATTGGCTCGAGGTGAAATCTCTGGAGTATATGCTGCCGCCTTCAGACATCAGCTCACTCATGAAAAATACTAGGGGTCTGGCCGGATAAACTCCGGGTAAAGACCGTGAAAAATGTGTCTGTTTGCGTTCACACATGGCCTAAAGAACCTCCGGGTAGACTAATCTCCGGAGTTTTTCAGGAGATTTCCGTATGTGTGAAAAGGGTTTATGTAGGAAACAGGAGAGAGAGAGAGCGAGAGGAGGGAATGGCCGCCACCTGCTCAGATGACTGCAGCCTCTTTACATGGGGCGTGCAGACTAACCACTAGGTGTTCCTGCATTTGTGTTTTTGAATTCATTTACTGACTACTTCAACATCAAGTCAAAAAAAAGTTCATCCTAAAAGAAGAAGAGATTCATTCCAGTGTCTGTGCCTGTTAATGTTATAAGTTTGGAAATGTTATTTCGGTCAATTATTTTTCCCCTTTAATAATTCTAATTGGTGTTGTATTTTATATCGTTGGAAAGCCTGATTAGTCACCTTTACAACGAGGTATAACTTGTAAGGATCGTGCATGGAATGAGCAACACAGCTAAACGTATCGGTAGCGACCCCAAAAAAATGTGCTGAAATCCGCTGCAATATTCAATAATTGACCAAAAATAACGTTTCCAAACTTTTTTTGAGGAGTTTAGTTTAGTTTAGTTTGGTTCAACTGTGTGCGTTAAGCACTAGTTAAAGTCAGCACAGTTCAATACTTTGCTGTCATTCTGTTAACATAAACATGAAGGTGTTAACACAGTGTGCATGTCTTTCTCAGGTGTTGGCCAGGAACCTGTACAGTGTGGATCTGAACGAGCTCCCTCTGGACAAACTCAGCGAACAGAAACAGAAGAAACATAAAGGAAAAGGTTGGTGGGTCTTTAGAGATCCAGTGGATCTGATTCACAGACTGGTCAGGCAGCATTTCTAAAAGTTGCTGTTTTATTGGCTCCAAAATGCATCAACTTAAGGCATACACTTAAGCCAAACTTCTGATTGTTATTAAATGACAATGTAGTGATATTTGAGTTTTCATAATGTTATCTTAAGCCAATCAACACCTCCCCTCCCTTTCACTTTTATTTTGATAGGACAGGGAAAAAGAGGGAGAGCGTGGGGAATGAGATGTGGGAAAGGATCCTCAGGTCAGACTTGAACACCTATCGGAGGACCATAGACTCTGTACATGAGGCGCGACCTAACCGCTAGGCCATAACTTCCCTAAGCCTACAATGCTACCACACAATCCTTTATATCTATACGCGAGTATTAGAGTGAAAATCCTCCAGGCAACACTTTCCACAATTTTTTTACTGTCAGAAATTGATCTTTAAAGAGTTATAAAGATATAAATATAGAAAACACAGAGGATGAAAATATCTGAGAATATATTATTTAAAAACAAAAGTAAAGCATATAGCACAGATGGAAATGTCTCTCCAGAGGTAACATTAGTCCTACAGTAAGTAGAGTTACATGTGCATGAAGAAATATTGTCCCATTCCATTAATCTACTCCAGGTATTGGTGCAGAGGGCCAACGGCAGATAGTGGATCGGTCATTCTCCAAAGGATGGAGCAGAGACCAACCAGGCCAAGCAGCCGCCATGAGGCAGCGCAGCGCCACCACAGCTGGCTCACCAGGCATCGAAAAGGCCCGCTGTATGGTCCGCCAGAAGACTGTAGGTCAGTGTCACTCCTCTAGACGACGTGGTGAAGTGAAATGGAACGGGGGAAACAGCTTGTTGGATGTTTTCTCAATGCACTTCAGAAAGCTTCTTATTTTTCTCTAGCGTGGAGAAGTATTGGATAGATAGTATTGGATCTGATGTTTCTCTAATTTCCTCCAGCAGGAATAAGTGGTGTATGCTTACTCACACTCCTCATTTGTAGAAGGTTGTGTATGCAGAGCTTTCAGCTATGGTTAGTGGTGTGACAGACCAGAAGTCAGGATTAAGCTGTGATGTTGCAAATCAAATGAGGATGTAATGAAGAGTCATAAAACTTAAACTCTGATGCTCAAATTCAAAGAGCAAGTTGGTAATCTAGTTTCTTTTAGAAAAATGGGACCAGCTTGTCCTCCATAGTACACACACTCATGCACTCTCTAGGATTGCTCTTAAGTATCCTTCAACAAGGGTCTCTAAAACAAGCACTGTTTTAAATGTCTTAAAGTGAACTCATACTCATACCATGTGCTTGTTGGTCGCTCCCACTTGAATAGGGTGATTTTTAAATTGTAATGGGGAAAGAAAACATTGACACTGCAAAGATGTGTTGTATTCTATGTCCAAAAGGTTTACAGTTACACACCACCGCATTTGAACATTTGAGACAAAACAAAGATTTTCAGCAGATGAGTTAAAGAGCCCATATTCTGCCCTTTTTGGGGTAATGTTCCTACTTTTGTACGTTCACAATAGCTAAAGTCTGAAAAAAGTGTCTGTTTTCATGTACTGCTCCTCCTTGCTCCCTCTACGCTCTGAGTCCGTCAGCTGCACTCTGCTGAGCCCACACTGTTAGACCCCACGTGGGCCAAGTCTGCTCTGATTGGTCTGCCGATCCGCTCTGTCGTTATTGGTCAGTTGCTCAGCACGCGTCTCTGAAATTTCAACATGAGCTGCAGGGCTTGCCACAACGAGCCAATGGGCTTAGATCAGTGATCTCACTCTGACAATGACGCCGGACTGACACATTTTTATCGAGGGGGGCTAGAACCAAGCGTTACATGCAGCTAATGCTACAGCTAACAGGAGGAGGTAGGAGAAGCTGCGTTTCCACAGACTTTGAATTTTTGCAAATAGATGTGCCTAAACATGCACAGGACACTTGGAAAACACACTAAAGGGAATATAAAACCAGAAAAAGCATAATATGGGACCTTTAAAGTTTTTGACAATTAACAAAATAATTTCTTTGACCATGTTTCTGTGTAATAATATGTAATATATGATACGACGTCAAGTATGTGTACGAGTCATGTACAGAAACGTTCTCAGGCTTTCCGGTTGTGACTTGAGAAGGCCGACGCGTAGCTTTTAAAATGTATTTTTGACACAACAAAAAATGCAGGGTAACACAGACACCTATAGACATTATTTTAAAATGTGCATTGGTATTTGTCACATTCTTGTGTGCTGTTTTCAACCGTACGAATGTGAAGGCGAGATTGCCTTGTTTAAATGCTATCTGATTAGCATTTAGCTCTGTGGGTCACCTGTGTAGGTCCTTCAGAGGAGCTGCCACCTGCCTCTCACTGTCTCACTGCCTTTCCTCCAGAGCTAACCCCTGTCTCACTCCCCCCTTTCACCTTCCCTGTCTCCTTCCCTTTGGACCTACTTGTCTACACTGTTCTGTCACCTTTTCACGTATTTCACATTTCTTCTCTACATGATCTCCCTGTGCTTTGTCTTCATCCTGCAAATCTTTTTATTTTCACTCAATTCCTTTTCTCATTTCTCCTCCATACACTTTTAATTCCTCCCTCTCCGGCCTTACTTTTGTCATTCATTTAATTTCCTCCACTTTTCCGTTTTCCCCCATCCTCCCGCTCTCTTCCACACCTTACCTGTCACCTCAACATTTACTCTCTTTTCCCCTTCTGTGTCTTTCTCTCCGTGCCTTCTTTGCTTTTCTTTTCTGTCTCATACCCCCCCCCCCCCCCCTTTTATTCTGTATTTCCTCCTATCTATTCTTCCCACTTCTTCAGCTCTGCGTAGCTGTTCTACGGGGGACTCTCTGCTGTCCTCAGCCTTTATCCGCAGTGCTAAGAGTGCTCCTGCTCTGGCTCCACCTCTTCCTGTCCTTCTTCACCACCACCACCCTTTACTACCCCCCCTAGCCGACCAGCTGGCAGGTACACACTCTTTGCACTACCTGTCTGCCTGCGTCCCTGTCTGCCTGGAAACCTTACTTCTATGTACGACTGTCAGAAAGTGCAACTTCATGCCCGGTGTTTTGTTTTTCCGTTTTTCTATTTCCTCATTTGTAATGACTGACAGTTTGCATGTGGATCATCAGAATGTATTTCCTGTTTGACCTGCAGCTAGGATGATCGATGTGATTATAGGAAATGTTTGTGCATCAGAAGCATCTGTCTCCTGAAACCGTGGAATCATATCTTCAGCGATCATTGACATTTGATAAATGGATGATCAAAATATTTTTCAGGGGCGCGCTGGTGGCGCAATGGTTAGGGTGCGGTAGGCCCGGGTTCGCTTCCACCCATGGCCCCTTTCCGCATGTCATTCCCCGCTCTCTCTCCCTGGTTTCCAACTCTGTCCACTGTCCTATCTCTGCATTAAAGGCATGAAAAGCCCAAAATAAATCTTTAAAAAAATATATTTTTTTTTTCAGCACCCATTGAAATGTCTTCTTTCATTTCAACAACATACAAAATATTTTGAAATAACTGAATATAGTTAAAGGTAGCATCTGGCTTCCCTGTCTAAATTCCTTATAGAGTCTATAAAGGCTGTTGGTTATTGATCAGATTCTGTCATTATAATATTTACTATGATACAGGGGTTATGATTGAACATATTGATATACTGTAAGCATGCGATATACTGTTTTTTTTTTGCCTACAATGTGGGTGTTACAGTGAGTGAATGAATATTTATTATTCATGTCTGGTTGTTTACATGACCACATGTCCACATGGAGTTTTTCAGACACATTGTATTTGATCATGCCTATAAACCCCTCTATTTCAGCCCTGCTCAGAACAGGCTGTTTCTGTGTCTGTACCTTTAAATATGTAAATGAGCTGTGTTTAACCACGCCCCTTTCTGGAAGGGCTTGGGTGACTCAGGCTTTCTTGCACCATGCCCGACTGTTATCATTTGGAAAGGCAGACTCGGTGGGCAAAAAAACACCTAGGTGGGGGAGGTTCACTTTGTGATGTCACAAAGGGAAAATCTCCAAACAGCCGTTTGAGCACACATTTTCTGAAAAGTGGAGCAGGTAAAAGACGGAGAGAATGGAGTTTTCCCTTTATTTATAGGGGAATGGTTGTTGACAGGCTAGGAACTCATGTTAGTGTTAGAAACCCACGGCGAAGTTCATTTTGCACAATATGTGACCTTTAAAAGTAGACAGAGATACTCTTTATCATCCTGTTTCTTTCTTCACTTCTTCCTCTTTCTGTTATCCTGCTTGCTAGCCTGTTAAAATGTATTGTTGCTTATCTGCCTGAGGTCACACATGCATGTCCGTCTGTTATGTCTTGTTCTTGCACTACTTTCTCCAGATGAAAAAAATGCTTATTTCCCCTTTGTCTTTATGCCTGTCTCATTTCCTATCAATGATATAGTTCAAAGCTGCTTCTTTTCTCTGTAAAGAATGTTATTCAACACCTTCCTTTCTTTACTGTAGGTAACGACTGGGAATTAACATTATCATATCCTCTTCATGGAGGGATTTTAAAAATTCATTAAGTGTGTCTTGTTGTTTATTTACGTGTTTACTTTGGGTGTTTTTCCCTGGTAGGTTTCCCTCTAAACCTGCCATTTATTTACAACATATTCCATGCAACAAAAAAAAATGCTGACTGGGGCAGTTAGGGTACTCATTATAAAACGTCAAGTCAGTTATAAGAACAAATCTCACCTGTAAATATTGTTGAAGCAGCAGATATTTAAGGAGGAGATGGTTTTCATTTTGTGTTTGTTCAAAAATATGTCAACAGTGTTGTTGGTTAAATTATTGAAGTTGTGACAAATGGTCCCACACACCACGAGTGCTGCTCTGATTTGTGAGTTAAATGTGTGTTTAAATGTGTGTGGCAGCCAGGTATAAATATGAAACCCATTAAGACAGACATATGGACTCAGGACATGGTATTGTTCATATACTTAGTATGAAACCTGGTGTCATTTAAACCGTCACTAATACTGTCCTCTGTCCAATGAGGAATAATCATCAGCAGGATCATCATGACAATTCAACAGCTGGGTGTTCTGAGAATAAAAGAAGTTTAACCTATTAGACGTTTCAGCTCTCTGCACCAGCTTTATATGAGGAAGTTTGGGTGCATAGTCCACCCTTCACCATCCGTTAAAACTAGTAAGGTAGTTTCTGACATTTTCGGTTGCACCACAAAGATGTTATGTTCATCTTAATAACTTAAGCGTAATGTCCAAACCAACCATAACATTGAAGCAGAAATTACGTTTTTACTTCCCGTGGCAAATCAGTGAAATACGACGGAGGATTAGGGCCACGTTAAAACATTTTTAATTTTTTTATTTCGAGATTAAACTTGGAAATTTACGAGAATAAAGTAATAGATGGTCTCGAGATTATTCTCGTAAATTTACAACTTTATTCTAGTAAATTTACAACTTTATTACCGTAAATTTACGACTTTATTCTCGAAATAAAAAAATAAAAAAGTTTTAACGTGGCTCTAATCCTCTGTCGTAATGAAAAGCAGTTTTCTTAATGAAGTGTTTTTTACAGTGTTGCCTCTCATGCTTAATTGACTCTAAAGAGGCTAACGGCTGAAAGTAACCTCTGTCATCTGCTCTTACTTGACAAACAGCAATGAAAAGGCACTATGATTAGGCAGCACTACACATTTAATTTACAGCTAGTGTGAAGTAACACTTCTACAACACGTGCTAATAGAACAGTACTCTATAGATGGGCTGATGAAATTATAACTTTATGCTGAAGAAGAAGAAGACTTTCTATGTTTCAGGCCTCTGCTGTTACCCGCTTATGAACGTTGTCTGACAGATCCTGCAGTTTAATACCAAATGTCTTCCTGGCCTCTTTAAAGAGGTTTTGCGGTTTAATTTGTAACAAATGTTTCATGTTATGTACGTCTTGTAACCTACTACTGGATGCTTTGAATTTCCCTCGGGATCAATAAAGTATCTATCTATCTATCTAACTCTATGTTGCACCATGATCTTCTCATCTATTCAGAGATGACTCAACCCACTTGTTTTGTTGTTTGTTTGTATATTTTGGGGTTTTGTTTAATTGTCTGCATGTCTGTCTTCATGTGTGCATGTATCCTTTCTCACAAACCCCCCACTAACCCCAATCTCTTTCCTCCTATAACCAGACCTCGAGGACCCGCCAATCACACTGACATCCCGCACCTCTCGGATGCGCCACTCCTCCCAGAGCGACGAGGCTCCGCCCACCTCCTGCTCCGAGGTCTTCCAGGTAGTGGCTTGTGACCTGGACCCCCCGGCACCCTCCTCCCTCGCTCGAGCAGCAGTGCCTCTGACATCATGGAGCCTTTCATCGCTGAGCGGTCAAAGGTGAAGACCCCCAGGGGGATCCACTTCAATCCCAAATCCCCCCAACACCACTCCACTACTTCTTTCTTACCTGCAGCCAACAGCCACGCAACTCAACCACTCCCACACACCCCCACTGCACCCTCACCCACCCCTTTTACCCCCTCTGACGGTGTTATCTCCTTGTCCTCAGAGGGGCAAGATGATGGTAGTGTTTATGACCAGTTCTGGCAGCAGATTGGCTCTCGGAGTCAAGGTTCAGGTTCTGATTGGGTTAGCGACTGGGATTCCGCATTCGCCTGCCCATTTGAGAAGGAAACTGATGTAGAAGAAGGAGAAACTGGGGCAGAGGAGGATGATTTGTTCTCTTCCATTAGGGACTACCTCACTCAAAAAGGAGGTGAGAAGAAGGAGGGAGGAGAAGGTGACTTTCCTGGTTTAGTAGTAGAAAACAGTGTTGTAACTGTACCAGTGTCTGTGCAGACGGGAGTAGCAAGAACGCAAATGGAATACGCAGGGCAGGTAGGAGAAGCGAGACAGGTGGTGAGAGAGGACAGACAGGTAAGTAAACCTGTGAGGCACAGCAGTGTGGACTCGACAGAGGAGAATGAGGCAGAGCAGCGGAGTATCTATGAGTGTCTGGAGCTGCAGTGTGAGTGGCCCTCGCCCAACTCTAAGGGGAGTGCTAGCTTAGAAAGACACAGCGGGGAGAAAAAGGGAGGAGGAGCCACAGGAAGGGAAGCAGGATGGGAAGGGAAAAGTGATGTGTGGAGAGAGACGGGAGAAGAAACACAGAACGATAACGAGCCAAAAGAGAGGTCCAGTTCAGTTAGACAAGACCAGAACCCCATAGAATCCAGCACTGACTCAAACCAAACTTCTGACCCAACTAAAGCCAAAGTGTCTAGAATCATCAAGAGGCATCATTTGAGCGGTGTTCATGTCAGTTTCAGACCCTCCACCGAGTCAGTCCAGTTTCATAATCCCCTTGAGAGTAAAGAGGCTCACTGGAAAGCCCGGCTGCGCCGCCTCAGTCACTTCCACACGCACAGCCACTCAGCAGGGGACAGGTCCGGGGCTGGAGCCGGTGCAGGGTCAGGGGCCAAAGCAGGAACAGGGGTTGCAGGTAAGTTTGTCTCTGCAGCCGGGCTCAGCCATAGAGCAGGGGGGCGCATGAGAAACTGGTTTCTGGGCTGTTGTAGATAACAGCGTGGCAGTGAACGCATCACTTTCTGGAGGCCTTGAAAACAGGGCTGGAACTGAAGGGGACTGGGACAAGCAACATCCTGGGTCCAGTACGGGATCCAACCCCGGTCCCGAGACTCACTCGGAGTCGTCGTCAAGCAGCTCGGGCTTCTCCGGCGTGTCGTCAGGGGTGCGTGGCCGTTTGGGACGTTCGGCCCTGCGATCTCGAGCGTCTCGCTCCAGGTCCCAGGAGCCCGGCAGCGCTTCCTCCAGACACCACCAGGGGGCTCTCCTCGGTGGCGTCTACAAGAGCATGGTTCACGCCCTGTCCTCAAAACCCCGGCCCAGAGGTCAGGGCTCATCCCAGGGCTCTTCGCCCAGAGGCAGGGCCGGGCAGCCATGGGCGACGCATCGTTACGAGACCTCTACTCCCACGTCCTGGGCTACTTTGGACGAAAGACGACCCGCCAGGTGAGGATTGCAACAAACGAGGTGCTCACAGAGGACACAAAAGAATACAACAGCAACTGTGGAGAGAAAGATACTCACCAATACACAAACACCAGCAACTCTCTTTTCCTTTTTGGCTGTTTTTAACTGGTTTGTTATGATGGAATGATTTTTTTTTTTTTGGCTGACACTCATCATCTTGCTGCTGGACTGAAATTCAAACTCCCTGTTGATGTGTTTTTCTCTTGAACGAAGCCCCCTCCTCCAGCCTGCCTCCTGTCAAGGACCCCCTCCTCCTCCTCCCATACCTATTCACCTTTACCTTCAACTGGGAAGCCGCCTTCTCCCCTCCTCCTCCTCCTCCTCCTCCTCCTCCTCCACCTCTCTTCTTTCTTCTAAGAGCTTTGGGATTTTAACCTCCTCTCCCCCTTACCCTCTTCTCCGCCTCCTCATCCCTCTTCTTGATGTTGCATGCCGCCTCCTCGTACCTCCTTCGCCTCCTCCCTGGACTCCGGCACCTCTTCCGCTACAGAGGAAGAAACGCACATGGAAATACATTTTACCTCACAGAAAGCCCTCCAAATCAGAGCTGTATTGACAAAAACAAATACTTGTGAATCATTTTAAAAGAGCTTTAATTATATATAGCAGTAAAAAAATATTGCTGTAGTTCATTCTCAGACCACTAGAAGGCAGAATAAGACTTCATATAATAACGGCTGTGTTGATATTAGTGAAACAAGCAGAAAGTTTGAATGGATAAGAAATGGTAAACATTCCAGATAAACAGTCCTAAATGGTTATTTGCCCAGTCCACTACCACTAATATCTAACAATATGATTGATGAAATGTGCATTTGAATCAGCAGCCCCCTTTTATTTCTATTCATTCTTCTTCTCAAGGCTATCAGACAGCACGACAGGGTTTCATTTATTTTGTCTCAAGGATTACAGGTGTGAGTGAGCACAGTGATTCATCGCCTGAATCTGTCTCTTTGTGGAGACAATGTGACGTCACCCTGTTTGATCCTTTTCTTTATCCATTATTCAGGTCTGTTGTTTGCCAGCTTTTTCTATATGATAAATAACAACAACTGCACCTTCACAATTACAGTCACATTTTTCATGCAGACTGGAAGCTAGATATTATATTTTGTAACTTTATGTTTAATGACTGTAACTGCTAATAGTCATCGTGCTCGCTCTGTGGTCGCTCTGTTAACACAGGTGGAGGCCTCTATTAGAGCGTAATAAGCTCAGCTATCAAACCTTAAAAAATCACAGCACTAAAACGTTGTATGGGTGGAATCAGCCAAGTAAAACCAGCAAAACTAAACGGGGACCTTTAAAAAGTTCTCAATCAAGTCTTAAATGAAAGGGCAGCAGCTCAGCTACTGAAGGTGTTGAAAGGCACTGAGGGTGTATCTGAGATTAAAGGGGGGGGGGGGTAGCTACAGTGACCATCACAAGAATGACAAATAGCGTAGGTGTTATGGGTCCCGCATGTGTCCCCCCCCCACCGGTGAACAGAAAGGTCATGTGCACATGTCATGACCATCAGATCATGTAAACACGGTGTGAGTCACTGTTGTCATTTGAAATCCATTATTACCTTTTATAAAAGCTCCCATTCAATCCAGGGTGCAGACATTTAAAATGAGGGTGCAATGCATGCTTTTGCACTCTCCTAGATCCGGGCCTAGGTGCTGAGTGTAGTACTGCATTCCTCTAAAGAGCACAGACTCTCATGGTCCCTACTTAACTATGATTTCTGTTGTATTTAGTCATTTTCATATATTGAAAAGTGTAGAAAAAGGTGAACACATTTAATTCTGTTTACAGAATTTTGCCTAGTTTTATTTTGAGATGACCAATTTTTTGGCCAATTTTGATACTATACACAAATGCACATTGCTAAGTTTGTCTGAATTTTGTAAGCTAGGCAGGGACATAGATATTTTTATATATATATATATATATATATATATATAGTAAATAAACAAGGCTGACATTTTACATTTTAATTAACATAGATGTTACAACTGCAAATTATTTTTGGGTCTTAAAAGACATTAGAAAGGGGCGATATGTCTTTCTTATGTTGTGAAAAACTCATGAGTTATGTGGTAAGTGTCCTTATGGGAGTCGACATTACAGACGGTGGTGTCCTTCTACACAGACATGGAGTAGTCCAAACATAACATGGACATATTTGGTGCTAGGATTTGTGCATCTAGTTGTGAAGGTTGAAGCCATGTTAGAGGTCAAACCTTTGTGTTTTACATGTCTTCTGTACGTGTTGTCAATGTTGGCATGGCAAATAATCATTACACATTCATAGTCTAATTGTAGATTATGTTATGTTTGTGGTATATAACATCCATACATAACACACTAATAGTTACTCAGTCATTTGTTGTAGATTATAATGTCAGCTGATTTAACCCAAACAAACGTCATCTTCTGGCTGGCTGTGTTAAGTAGAATTTGTTTGGTACTTACTTCAGTTCCCTCTGTATGATCACAACCAGAGATTCTTCTAATAAGATGACTTAAATGTTTTGGGGGGTTTTCTTGTGGAATTCTGTGGTTTTAAAAGTTTAAACATGACCACATCCAGAAGAGACGATGTGTGTCCCTGAGTTATGCAGGACAAAGCAGTTTGAACACAGACCGTCTTGTTTTGTGGTAAGTGGTCATTGTATAAGTCGAAGTGTCCAGAGTCAAACCTCGTGAGGGAAATGTGCTGCAAGGTTACATTTTTATCAGCTAGGTGGCAGCAAAGTGTAGATCTTCTTTTCTTGTTTCATCGATCTGTCCTGAGCCCTGGTACTGAGCTGTAGACGTTACCAGAGACGGTCAGTTCTATCAGCTATAACTTCAAGATTTGAAAAAAAGAAGAATGAGTCAGTATATTTGATCCTATCTCTGGGACAGAAGGAAGCTTTCTGACCCACACTTGACCGCTGTCATTGCTCCCCAGGCTAACAGCAACACATCTTATAGTAGTATAACTGCACTAATATCAGCCTCTGACATGCTGCCTGTTTGGACTTAACAAGGTGATACTGCCTCACTCTCTCTGCATGGTGTGAATTAACTCCTGCATTGCTTATCTAGTGGGTTTGCCTGTTGTGTTGTGGCTTTTTTTAACAACTAGTCTTTTGCTAACTTCAGGGTCCTGCAGTACACACACACCAGAGAGAAGCTGCAGTTAGACTACAGACTACATTAGAGACACTATGTTACAGTACCTCTGATAGACTAGTGGGAAGGATAATCTGCTTTAAGAGATAAAGTTTATCTGTGTAACATCTCACCTTCTGACTGGTGTGTGAATCTTTGAATCTTCCTCAATATTTCCGTGTGTGTGTGTGTGTGTGTGTGTGTGTGTGTGTGTGTGTGTGTGTGTGTGTGTGTGTGTGTGTGTGTGTGTGTGTGTGTGTGTGTGTGTGTGTGTGTGTGTGTGTGTGTGTGTGTGTGTGTGTGTGTGTGTGTGTGTGTGTGTGTGTGTGTGTGTGTGTGTGTGTGTGTGTGTGTGTGTGTGTGTGTGTGTGTGTGTGTGTGTGTGTTCATTGTCGTTATATTATATCTGCCTCTCTGTCTGCCTCTAGTCAATAAAGAGGAAGTGGTCCAGAAGGCCCGTCCAGTCTCCAGCGACGTAGGAAGCAGCAACCCAAACTTCTCTGACCTCATGGACGAGTTTATCCAGGAGAGACTGAGGGCCAAAGGAACAGCAGTGAGGACAACACACGTGTTCACTGAAACCTCAATTTAAACATTATTCTTTGAGTGTCAGAGTATCTGAAGCAGCTAAAAGTTAAATATAGCATCCTTTTGATACGCAGGGTCGCCGTGGCAGCAGCCCAGGAAGTCTGGAGGTTCCCAGGGACCTACCAGAGCTCCTGGAGGCGGGCCAGAGTCCTGGATCCAGACCCTCAGATGATCCCCGTCCAATCGATGACCCGGGGGTTCCCTCCGAATGGACATCACCAGCGAGTGCCAGTGGCTCTGACGTCATCAGCTCAGACAGCCAATCAGACTCCTTTAATGCCTTTCAGTACTCCACCTGCAAGTTTGATAGTAAGGAACAAGAAAGCAGCTGTTTTTTTCCCCCAGATGTTTACTAAATGAGACTCATTTTTATACAGAGACAAGTGTTTATTGAGTTGGGGCGGCTGTCGCTCAGTTGGTAGGGTGTCATACAGAAGGTCAGGGGTTCGATCCCCAGTTCCTCCAGCCACATTTCCAATGTGTCCATGGGCAAGACACTTAACCCCAAGTTGGTCTTACATAGCAACCTTTGCCATCAGTGTGAGAATGTGTATGAATGTGTTGGTGTGACATGTTAAACCTTCTTGATTCCATCAAAGAAAACCTTCTTTGCTGCCAGAGCAAAAACAATTGCTTATTTACTGCTGCGTCCACTTCATTTGTGTGGTGTTTTAAAGTATTAACAAATGTCCAGCACAACAACACAAAGTCATATAAACAATACAAACAATCAAATCATTCAAGAAATTGATAGACAAGAAACTCTAGTGTTCTTTGATTTCCCTGCTGCTCATTTAGGAGCATTGACAGAAGGTTTTGTAGACATGAGTTATTCCCAAATCCAAAATATCTATGAAAAAAAAAATGATTCCCCAGATGAAAAAGTTGAAATTTCCCCATGAAGCTGGAAAACAAACAAACATATTTTTAACATTTATCAAACTTTAAAATGAACTTAAGCCCTTTAAATTTTGTATTTGCCCAAATTTTTAATCCTTGATGTTGAGATTTTTTTTTTTTTTTATGTTGTCGCAGATTTTACATTCAGTTCAGAGGTCTGTGCAGGAGGAGCTGGATCAGGTGGAGGCGGGGGAGGTCGAGGCAGCTCGCTGGACCAGGATAGCCTGGGAGGGGGCGTGGCCTGTGACGAACATGAAGTAGCCAGTTTGACAACACTACACCTCGACTCAGAGACCAGCAGCCTCAGCCACACTGTCACTGTCACTGGTATGTACATGACATGAAGACCTCTTTGTATCTGTATCACTTCAGAAGAGGGTTCAAATGAATCTCTACCAAACCAATATCCTGAATACGACGTTTATACTGATCATCTATGTAATGTTAATGATTGCTCCTGTATCCCATAAACCAGCAAACTGCATCTGCTTTATTTTCTTCTTCAGGTTCTGAGAGTGCCTCTCCCATGCATTCTCTCGGGGGTTCTCGCTCTCAGACACCCTCCCCTGCCACGCTGACAGCAGATCACACCGATCACACACACTCCCACTCACACACACACCTGCAGCTGGACCAGAAGCTTCACAACTCGGTTCTGCAGACTCCAGATGACCTGGGTAATGCTAACACACTCAATCGTGTACATCTACATTTTTTTTTCTGTTCTTCCTTTCATGAACAAATGAGAAGTCACTGATTGATTCATTTACTGATTTCAGAAACGAGCGAGTTCCCCAGCGAGGACTGCAGTGTGATGGCGGGCGGCTCGTTAACCGGATGGCACTCAGATGTTGCCACGGTAATGTGGCGAAGGATGCTTGGTATCCTAGGGGACGTCAATAGCATCAAAGACCCAGAGATCCATGCTCAGGTCTTTGACTATCTGTGTGAGCTGTGGCAAAACCTGGCCAAGGTAAGTACTTACATTTAACCTTGTCTAAAGTATGCTCAGTCTTTGTTTGTTTGTTTTTTCTCTAAGAAGTTATACTTTTTTTTCTCTTCAGATTAGAGATAATTTGGGAATTTCTCTGGACAATCAGTCATCACCTCCTCCTCCTGTTCTGATCCCGCCCCTGAGAATTCTCACTCCATGGCTCTTTAAGGTTGGTGTGATTCAGAGAACTTCTATTAGATGCTGAAATTACATTGAGATCTAAGTACAAATGATCACAAATATCTACACTTGTAGCAAAAAAAATAATCTTTACATCTATTTTATTTTACACGATTGCTCATTGATTTTACAACATCTGCATTACATGTACTGTATTTATTGAACTTAAACATTCCTCATACATTGAAAAACAAGAAATACAAGTGAAAAAATAATATATAATAATAATTCAATCTAAATAAATCAACCATGTTTTTGACTTAGTGGTGATACTACTTTTGTGGTCAAAATATAACAACATGAAACATTTAACACACCTAACAAAAACCTGTGGACAAAACGAGCACAGCCCAGTATGTGGCACAACAAGAGTTCAACCTGTAGTCTCTTGTTTTCATGACGGTGGGAAGACAAAATCATAATTGAAATTGAAACGGATTAATTGCCTAGCCTTATACAAAAGGGATCAACCTTAAAAAAAAAACCTTTTTCTGAAGCTAACCGTTGGGTAGTGTTGGGTAGTGTGGCATTTTTAAAAGCCACTCGCCATTAAGATTAAAGAAGAACTTTTAGTTCCATAAATGGGAACATTGACGCTGAAGATAAAGTTTCAGTTAGCCATGTTTCAGCTTGTTTCACGAGTTTGGACCTTAGCAATGAACTTACTCAGGCAATTACAAACCTTTTCCTACCCATGGGTTAAACCAACCCAAAAATATGTTTAAAACAAATTGGCCCAGGTTCTGATATACTAGAACTGCCCTCAAACTTGAGTACATATGTCAATTGATGGTCTAATATTTTGATGTGTGTGTGTCCTCCTCCAGGCCACCAAGCTGACAGAGCGTTACAAGCAGGGGAAGCTTCACGCCTACAAGCTGATTTGCAGAATAATGAAGAGAAGACAAGATGTTTCCCCAAACACAGACTTCCTCACACATTTCTACAACATAATGCACCAGGGACTGATGCACCAAGACCAGGTAATGACAAATAACACATTAGATAAAAGGAAGTCACAATACTCTACAGTACTCTTATTATCACTGTAGAACTTCTTCTGCTGTTAGTAAATGATTCTCCTGCTTCAGATTAAAGCAGTGACTGCTCTGTTTTGGAGTGAGTGTGTCCTTTTTGATAAGCTGTATGGTTTCCTTAGGACATTGTGAACACAATCATAAAACACTGCAGTCCCAGGTTCTTCAGTATTGGACTACCTGGAGCCACAATGCTGATCCTGGACTTCATCATTGCAGCTTCCAGAGTCACCGTCTGCTCCTCGCTCAACGTAAACAAAACAACACAAGAAACACACAGTTGTTTAGTGCACATCTTTTGACAAATATATCCTGTATATATGTAATTTTCTTCTCTTTCTCATTTGAAATTTGCACGTTCTCCTTTTCGTCTACATCCCTCCCCTTCCTCCTTTCAAGGCTCCGAGGGTAGAGGCCCAGATCCTGCTGGGTTCTTTGGTGTGTTTTCCAAACTTATATGGGGAGCTTCCCGCCCTCCATCCCACCACAGCTGACGTGGTGCTCACCAAGTTCCCCGATGTCAAGGCAGGTGGAAGTAAAAGTACTCTGACGAGTCATCATGCCTCTGTGCTTTGCCAGTATCATTTTCTGTGTATAGTATGACAGTAAAACACAGTCGAATAGGAAGAGAAAAAATAACTAATACAAAAGGTTTTCCTAAGAATACCTTTAAAAAGTTTCTAAATAGACAGGTGAGTGTCTTTATGTTGGCTTTTATTTGGACTGCTTTTTGAGTAGAGTTTAATTGCGCTAATAAACGCTCCTCTCTGTCAGAGAAACATTACTCCTGCTGTATCATGTCTGTAACATGTAAGAGGACTTCTAACAGCTGTGGGCGGCCGTTGCTCAGTTGGTAGACTTGTCGTCTCTCAACCGGAAGGTTCGATCTCCAGCTCCTGTGGCAACATGTCCGGAATTTGACTTGGTGTATTAGTGCTAAACAATTAACAAGGAAATAAAGCAGAACTAGCAACAACTTAAATAATACAGTATAAGAAGATATTACAAGATATAAAATAGAATTAAAAAATCTAAGATATAAAAAAATAAAAATAAAAAACATAATGTGTGTAACTACTCACAAAGTGCATGTAAGGAAGATACATTTTAAAGTCCAGTGGGCGGACATAAAACGGAGTTAACGCACAAAAACAGACAAAACAACGCGCACCAACACACCGGGGTGACCGTCCTCGGTGCCATCTCGATGTGAATCAAAGGTGTGACCTGCGGTGTCAAAGTGCTTTGAGTAGTCAGAAGACTAGAAAACTTCAACTTCAACTTCCAAAGAAAAGCGCTATATAAGCTCAAGTCCATTTAGCATTTACCATTGACATCCACCATAGGGGCAAACTCTTAGACAAACTTTATCTCCTTTCATGTCAGGCCAAACTTGAAACACACATTTGTGCCATCCACAGGTGGTCTGAGAAGTAAACTAATAGGTTAATGTCTCATCTGTCATTCTTGTAAGAGTCCAGAGCTATGGGAGTAATGTTGTTATTGTTGTTGTTGCATTGTAACCTGCTAATGCCATGCGTGGCAGCATCTCAGGCCCGCTCACTCGTTCCTTATGAGGCAGAGGTTTGTTTTGAATCGGTAAGCGGTCATTAACTCTGACTGGAGGGAACTGTGTGTGTGTGTGTGTGTGTGTGTGTGTGTGTGTGTGTGTGTGTGTGTGTGTGTGTGTGTGTGTGTGTGTGTTGTGTGTGTGTGTGTGTGTGTGTGTGTGTGTGTGTGTGTGTGTGTGTGTGTGTGTGTGTGTGGTGTGTGTGTGTGTGTGTGTGTGTGTGTGTGTGTGTGTGTGTGTGTGTGTGTGTGTGTGTGTGGAGGACGAGAGGAAACAGATTTGACCAGTGTGTGGACAAGTCTGCACTGTGCCTTTGGGCCATATTTAGTGACATATATTAACACCTCAAAAGTTCCAGTAATCACTTTTCTCATAGTCTGAAGAAAACAGTCTTTGAGAGTTTTTCTTATGTGCTTTGTGTTTCAGGAGCACATTATCAAAACCATCCTGACCTCTGCCAGAGAGGAACCCTCTGCTCCTGCGAGGCAAGTTCTGTTTGTGAAGGTGTTTCTGTGTGGGGCTGCTCATGTTGACCTCTGATCTTTTATCTGCTATCTAAAGCCCCGTTTCCACCAAGCGCTCAGGTTCGGTTCAGTACAGTTTGGTACGGTCATCCCGGATCTCGCTTGATTTTTCCACAGCCAACCGTAACCTTACACATCACTAAATCAGAGACATAGTGTAGACAGCCACTAAATTCAACAAAGAAGAAGAATGTGACGGTAAACAAAAATCTTATGAGTCCTAGGAAGGTCTGCATCTCCAAAGTTGTCCATGGAGCAGTGTTATTCGCTGACAATAGTCAGGATATTTAAACGTGGTGCGCTTTGTGTTTGTCCTTTACAACCGCTGTCACATAGTAAGTGAAGATTCTGTCGACCAATCAACGGACTGCAGTGTGTCTAGCTCCAAACTTTAGGGTCGGATCAGTACGCTTGGCACCCCAACAGAAGGGTACCAAAAAAGTAGGACAGTACGGATCAGTTATTTTGGTACCATTTCCAACTGTCTCTGGTATCAAAAATCTAAAAGATAGATTTTTATTTTTTTATTATTATTATTTTTTCATCGTTGGTTGACGGCCTGCCAGAACAACCCCCCCCTCCCCACCGGATTTTTGATGGACGATTTGCCTCCCCCACCCCCTTGCTCCATATCCCTCTTCCTGCATTTTATCCCATCTCTCCCCCTATCCCTTTCCAAGCCCGGTGCAGTCTAGGCCTGTGAAGGCTGTTTCATCATGAGCCGGGGATCCAGCTGAAGATCTCTACCTTTTAATAAGACAGTTTTTTCTTACCACTGTAACTTTTGCTGCTTTGCTAAAGTGCTCATGATGAATAGGCCGGGTCTTTGTAATATAGCAATAAGTAAGGTCTATTACCTGCTTTTTGTAACATAACAATGAGTAAGGTCTATTACCTGTTTTTTGTAACATAACAATGAGTAAGGTCTTTTACCTGTTTTTTGTAACATAACAATGAGTAAGGTATTTTACCTGCTTTTTGTAAAGTGTCTTGAGATAACACTTGTTATGAGTTGATGCTATACAAAAATGAATTGAATTGAATTGAATTTCTGAACAACTTTCTTTTCAATTTTACATATTGTAACATCACAGTCAGATGAACATTCACAGCAAGAAATTGTTAATCCTTATCCCACCCCCACCCCATTATATATATATATATATATATATATATATATATTTATTTATTTTAGTTTTTTTCATGCAGTTTATACATAAAGATTAAAAAAAAATGTTAACCATAGCTGTAACTTGGATACCTGTTACATGTTATGTTTCATCTCAAAGTTAATTTGTTTATTTACTCGCCATGTTTAAACATTAACACATTAGTTTAACAGCAGAGCACTTGGCTACACTTGTTTGCGTTCACTGCTTATCAAAACGTTTATTCAATGAATAAATCAACAATCAGTTTCCTGTTGCTAAATGCATTTATGAATGCACTTGTTTATTGTGAGCCTTTGATGTGTTTTGACTGAACTGTTTGAACAGAACTAGTGTGGATCCTTTTTGAAAAAAGTGTAAAGTGTTGCTCACACTGTGTTGTCTCTGTGTTGTCAGGTGTGTGGCTCTGTGCAGTCTGGGGATCTGGATGTGCGAGGAGTTGGTTCATGGGACTCAACATCCGTTGATTAAAGACGCTCTCAACGTCCTCTGTGTCACTCTGAAGGTCAGTCAGTTTTTAATCAAAAAGCTCCAGTAAGGAATACATCGGGCTTGAAGAGTCAAGCCGCTGAACTTCACACACACACAAACTTAAAATGAGTCAGTGGAATATAAATCTCTGTGGGTCACTCCAGTGATCTCATGCAGCCTTTGGCCTTTGCCTTCTTTCAAACTTTGTCCCCACTGACCTTCAACCACTTGCTGTGTCTGACTGTGCTCCAGTGTGCTCAGACCAAAGCAATGAATCTGTATCAGACAGACTGCTGATTGGCTGCTTGTCACACTGATCTACACAACACTGTGCTGCCTAAACATCTGTTTTCCTTCTGTCTGTTTGAAAGACACATCCATAACCCCAGGGCAAAGAACTTCATGCTTATACTAGTTATACATTTGTATTAATACACATCAAATTAATATTCAAGTTTAATACATAAACATGTTGTTTTGTTTTTTTTCACAACTTCGTGTTTATTGGGCAATCCAAACATAGTTCATTTCTTACATCATTATTCTTTTTATAATGTTATACAAAACAATAATATAATGCAGAAGAAGAAAACAAAATGGTTATAATAATGTCTTAGTTTGCCCAATTATTTTTGTAATAGAGAAAAAAACATAAACATGGTTTTAAAGAGGTAACTTTGTTGTTTTTCTATTTGGGATAAATGTTGGATGCTGAATGAATCAGTGAGTTCCTTATTTGCGTGTCTGGTGGTTTACATCGCCCGTCCTTCATGGAATTATTCAGACACATCAGCTGAGAATCAATCAAATTGTTCACACATTATTTAGCCGACATCATAACTGGAACATTAACATGAACCATTCCCCCAAAGAGGGGGAGGTAACATATTTATAGGAACCGGATCGGAACTGGAAAAAAAGTGGATTGGTGCATCTCTACTTTAAAAGTGAAAAATGTGAACGAAGTGTAGTATTCCCAGTGACTCAGGGTTATCCTTCAGTCTCTTATCAGAGCTGAGCAGCACCGTCATGTTTAATGTTTTGACGTTTCAAAACTGTCCTATAAAGTATTAGTATAGTATTCCCAAGAGACATGCAGTAAGTTTTTCTAATTTAGTGAATCACAAAAATCTTATTAAAGAAATGTATTATTTATCCCACGTGTTGTCCATTTTGACACACTCCTATAACCTTTATATGGAGATTTAATACCACATGTTAGAAGAGAGGCTCAGGATGTTGTGGTTTTGAGTGGTTGAGTGGACTGATTTTCTTCAGAGCCTTTTTCCCACTTTGATGTTATAGCTGTAAAGTATGAAAAAGAAGCATCTTTTATCTGTAATGCATTAACATTGAACACAGAAGACACTACAGAGACATTTCATGGGATTAAGTATGTTTGGAGGAGGTTACTTGTTTCATTTAAAAACACCAAAACACTGCCTGTAAACTGGGCGGTCGGTGGTGGTGTTGGTGTGTTTAACATGGTGGAACTGCAAGGGAGCCAAAGTGTGATGGAAAATATTGTTGGAGAAGATGAGTGTTGGTGTGGGAGGAATTGCCTCAGTACAATTGTAGGTTTCAGGTCTGCTGATCCAAATAATACTATCCAACATTCTCTGTCTCATCCATCGCCAAGTGGCTCTAGACAGACACAGAAACACACACACACACACACACACACACACACACACACACACACACACACACACACACACACACACACACACACACACACACACACACACACACACACACACCTTTTCAACCTTGGAATCCCTAGCTTGTGTATCGGCAGCCAATGGCCTGCTAAGACATTACAGCAACACACACACACACACACACAATTGCATTCACTCACTCCTGGGAGCAAACCCTGGACTGTCAACACACACACACACACACACACACCACACACACACACACACACACACACACACACACACACACACACACACACACACACACACACACACACACATACCTTTTCAACCTTGGAATCCCTAGCTTGTGTATCGGCAGCCAATGGCCTGCTAAGACATTACAGCAACACACACACACACACACACACAATTGCATTCACTCACTCCTGGGAGCAAACCCTGGACTGTCAATATGTTTGGTCCTCCTTCAGATAGGAGACTAATCCAAAGGGAATGCTGCAAGCTGTGTCAGAAATACACACACACACACACACACACCACACACACACACACACGCCTAATAACACACACACACTCACTGCTTGTCCACTTCTGCATCTCTTGCCTCATACCAATAGCCAGTAGCCGCAGACACTGGCACTGTGATATGCACACACAATCTCTCTCTCTCTTACACACACACACACACACACACACACGCACACCCAAACACACTCAAGGAGGCTTGAGAGATTGTCTTATTTCCATGCAGAGCCACTTCTTCCCGTTGTCCTCCTCATCCCACTGTCTGTCCCTCATAGTTGCTGGATGCTTTTTTAATTTGGAAATGGTGATTTTCAGTTCAGTCTGTCTGACCTATCCCTTTTTAGTAGAGCCTGACCGATTAATCAACCAGTCGATAATATCGGCCGATATTGGCATATCCAGTGACTAACTGTATCGGCTAATTTTGTCCCTGATATGCGCCGATATTACTAGATTTATTTACCAGTCAAATAGCATTTAATTTGAATGTCGTTGAATTACACTAGCAGTTCTTTTTTACCAGCAGAGGGCGCTATATGGATTACAAGAAGCATCATCACTCAAGTGTTGATACACGTACATTCGCAGTTACTTTCCAGTTGACTGACCATCTTGTCTACGTTATACTGTTTATCTTTTCCACACATGTTTGATAACTGCATTTATGGGATCAATGCAATAAATGTGTATATCTGAATCCAATCTCTTCAGATCAAACATAGATCTAAAAAAGATATCGGCCGATACATATCGGTATCAGATTTTTTTCTCTCCCCAATATCGATTGTTATTGGCCCCAAAAATCTCATATCGGTCGGGCCCTGCTATTTATATTATTTATCATATATTTAAAATAGTAATACAAATTAAAACACAATTTTGAGTTCAAACACAGTAATGTCATTGTGTGTGTTTTTGTGTATGATATTGATTAGAGTCATAATGTGTCCAACTAACTTGTGAATTAACATGAATGCTCTTATGTTTGTGTGTTGTACCTCCCAGTATCCCAATAAGAATGTGGCACTGGTGGCGTCGGACATCCTTCACCTCCTGATCAGTCATGTGGATCATCTTCAGAAATTCCCCCCCGACACTCCAAAGAAGATCGTAGAGGTGAGAAATAAACAACCATTCGATTACAAGTCATTATTGGAAAAAATTCTAAAACGCTGGATGATTAATTTATGATTTATTTAGTCCCCTTTAGCGTGGCCTGCACATCCTGATCGTTTCAGTCATATGATGAATCCTGAGGTTCTAGAATATCTGAAATCTCTCTAAATACACTTCTTCCCTTTTTATAGGTTTACTTAAGAAGTCTAAGAAATGTAGCTGTGTGTTGTCGGCTTTAATGAGATGCTTTTTGTTCTGACAGTAACAGATTCAACACGTTTTTTTTTTAGATTTTAATCGCCACCATCACATACCTGCTGCCTACCACCGAGACTTCTCCACATGAGCTGGACAAGAGGGTAACACACACACACACACACACACACACACACACACACACACACATTTCCTCTCATATTATTCTTACTACACTGCTCAGGTGTCTAATAAAGAAACTTTGTACCTGCGTACGTCTGTCTGTGTTGCAGCTGGTGGTCTCCCTTCTGTTGTGCCTGTTGGACTGGGTGATGGCTCTTCCTCCTAAAGCTCTTCTTCAGCCTGTTCAAACACGAAGCCCCCCAGAGAAGGACCAGCCCACCAAGACTCTGCTCAGCTGTATTTATAAGGTAAGGATAGTGGTGGTTGTGACAACACAATACAGCCTTTTCATACATGCATAAACATTTTCAGACTGAGCTGAATGTGTGTAAGCATTTATGAAAGGTGCTCAATGTGGACATGAATAATAAATATTCATAGAGAAGTTGCTTCTACTTCAAGCAGAAATCGTACTTTAATGTTTCATTATTTACTTAATCATCACTTGAGAAGTTTCTAACTGATTATTAAAATGTCTCACTTTATTATGACTCAGAAAAAATCCGACCCTTCTTTTTTTAATTTTATTCCTTGCTGCTGCTTCCTCCTGTTTGAGTGCAGTACATCCCTTGATCCCAAGCCAGAGTGGAAGAGCATTCATTTGCATTTTCCCCTGGCAGATTTTGTCAATCAGTACAATGCAGGCAAATGACATTTTTCATTTAGATCTATTTATTCGTTCTATTTTTCCGGCAAAATTTGACAAATATTGAACTAAAAAAAAGGAGAGTCTGGAGTGCTCTGAAGTTCATGGAGAGTAGAGAAAAATATAAAAAAATATATTTTCTTTCACTTACTTCAAAAACAAACACACCTGCAAGATGAAGATGACACTGAGACACCAGGCATAACGCTTTTATCCCCAGTTGCTGCTAAAATGTTTGGATCATAATAATTGCTCCCGCTGCTTCAGTGGTGGTGTATGAATGGATTAGTTACTTCTGATGGATGATACTACATAGCGATCACTACCATCAGTGTGTGAATGTGTAGGTGTGACATGTGGTGTAAAAGCGCTTTGAGTTGTTGGAAGACTAGAAAAGCGCTATATAAGCTCAAGTACATTTACCATTTACCGTTTACCTGTGTAGTAAAGCCGAGCATAAATTAGGAATCTACCTCATACAATGTAAAACAGTATCTCTCTCCATTCCTCTCCAGGTGTTGCATGGCTGTGTGTATGGAGCGCAGTCTTTCAACAGTCCCAAGTATTACCCGCTGCAGCTGTCGGACCTGCTGAGTCCAGACTACGACCCCTTTCTGCCATTAGAGAGCCTCCGGGAACCAGAACCTCTGCACAGCCCGGACTCTGAACGCTCCAACAAACTCCAGCCCGTCACTGAAGGTAATTCATGCAACATCATGATGGGACAATCCTACAAAACGATTAAGTCTTAGAATTTGTTCTGTTCACTGCGTATCAAGAGTGTAAAAACTGAAATTCAATAAAGTAAATCTTAATCTTAATCAAGCTGTGGCAATGTTTTCAGTGTGTAAAGATGTGTACATGGATTTTTTTCATGGACAGAAATTGAAATGACCCCACTCAGGACTGCTAAAGTCTAGTCTAGTCTTTAGGTCTTCCATGCATGTAAAGTGGAATCTAAAGTATGCACAAACATCCACCAACCTTTGCCATTCTCTCAAAGATTGGAAAAGTAAACTGTGTGTGTGTGTGTGTCTGTCTGCATCCGTGGGAGAGTGTGCATTGTCCCCTGCTGTGCTGCACCAGAACACAGCGTCTGGTCTAATGACTGGAGCGCCACCATTCAACATGCTTCTCTTTTCTCTTTTTTTAATATTGTCACTGCTTTACTGCTGCACTTCCTGTTGTCTTATAACTCTTCTAACATTATTTTTCCGCTCATCTTCTTTGCACTTCTGTTGCAAAGAAGATGAATCTTCAATGTTCATTTGTTTTTTTTCCTTGTTCCCGGTCTCCTCCTGAGCTCTCCTGAGGCTCAGAGAGTCATTGAGAATGTCTTTGTCGATAAATATCTGTACTCTTCTCACAGCCCTGTCAATAAGGACCTGATGGAAAGTGTGTGTGTGTGTGTATCACAGTGTGTGTGTGTGTGTGTGTGTAATGATGTTGATTTGCCAGGATCTGCTCACAGCACAGTGTGTGATGGCATTGGCTTCTTCTCGGTATGGAGCAAACTATGTACGAGCTGAAAGTATGTTTATACTTCTTTCTAGTTTGAACTGCTACAGCTGAAGTTCTCTCGTAACATGGAGTGTAACAGTCTGAGCAGAATCTTAAAAACAGAATCCTGAAGTGTAGCTTTTCTGGTAAACTAAATTCGTTTTTCTTGACTTCATACTTTGAAATGATATGCGCGACTGTCTGTGTTTCCCCCGCCTCTCTTCAGTGCGTAGCCGTATCCAGCAGGGCCTTGTTTCCATTGCAGCCAGAACAGTCATCACACACTTGGTCAACCATCTGGGACATTATCCAATGTCTGGAGGGCCGGCTACTCTTTCCAGCCAGGTACCTTTCATCAGTATTTGTGGGTAATAATGGCAGTAGTCCAGTCCCTTTACACGGTGCTGAATTATTTTTCTAGTTGAAATACTTTTATGAAGATCTTCACATTTTGCTAGATTAAGAGTTATTCCATGTTTTTTTTTTCTAGGTGTGTGAAAACCAAGACAACCCCTTCTGTGAGAGTGCAGATCTTGGACCGGAGCTTTTCCATTCACCAAACCTCCAGTTTCTGGTATTAAATGGATCCACACTGCTCTCAGTGTATCAGGTAACCTCAGCTGAAATCAAAGGGCCCAGACCAAATGTTACACTTCAGTGTTTCTGCACCAAAGTCAGGGACACACTGCATCACTTCAAGCACAGTCTATGGTCTCTGTTTGTGGTTATGACTAATGCAGACTGAGCTCAAACCCAAAAGGCTCTAGTTACTTTTTTCATTGCTATTAGCTTAGCATCGCAGCACATGGGATAGTTGATAGTAGTACTTTTCTGTTGATTATATTTAAGCTCATGTTTGGTTTAGTTTAGTTTATTAGTTTATTCCAATCAGGGGAAATGTACAACATAACATCATTCTCAGAAGAGAAAATATGCTTTATACCAGATTTAGCTAACTAGCTCATTTCCATCTGTAGTCCAGCAGAGGTTTGGTAAACAAATACTTTAACTCGGCTGACAGAGGTGGAGACCAGTGTAATAATGCTGAGTCATCATCTTCATCATTAGAAAATGTGTAATTTGCTGTTTTCAATCTCAGTCCTGCTTTTAGCTTTTCTATCTAACAAAGGCAAAAAATGACTAAAACAAAACACTCAAAAATAAAGTTTGACAGTAAAGGGAAAAACATAGGAGGATATATTTAGTGATTAAAGTTCTGCTGTGTGGAAATTATTTCTGGAAATTATTTCCTTAGAGTCTGGTTTTACAAAAAAATTGTATTTCCTAAAAATCTGTTAGAGCATTGTATAAAAATGTTGTTGTTACATCTCAGTATTTAAATGTAAAACCAGAATAACTTCTTTCTAAACACTAAGTTATATATGGTATTAATCACTTTATGAACTGTGTCAACAATGTTTGTTTTTTTAGCTCGGGTTGACCAAGTAAAGACAAAACATCAGCTTTGAAATTTGAATTTAACTTTGTTTACCTTGAAGTTTACTGATTAAGTGAAAGAGAACATCAACTTTGTTATTTTCCTTTTGAAGTTCTAACGGCTGCAAACGAGAAGCTGTAGCTGAACTAAAGATGCTACACTTTCAGAATCATTTCTGTATTTTTTATTTTTTTAATACTTTATTTATAGCTTTTTTTTTTACAATACAGACATACAAGATAGACAAGAACACCCAGCAGTATTACAAAAAATTATGGAAAGAAAAGCAAAAAGAGAGGCAAGGGGCACACATCTATATGTCCAAAACTGAAAAACTAATTCAAAAAGAGACCGCCCCTCTTTTAAAAACGGTCCTGTGTAGAAAACAAACAAAACACAAAACAAAAACAAAAACACACACATATGGGTGGGAGTCAGTCAGAATCATCAGTCAGTATGCCAAATAAGGCAGAGGTTGCACATAATATAGACATAACATAGCAGCACAGATTTAAGTTTTTATCCAACAACGTTAAGAAGGGTTTCCACACCTAATGAAACACACTTAATAAAATAAGCATCAGAGTAGAATCATTTCTGTATCTGAAAGATTCTTTTATTAACTACATTTGTCCCTCGTGTTTCTCTCTCCTCAGATCCGATCAGAGTCCGGCGTACCAGGAGGCGGAATGACCGCTGGATTGTCTTCTGCTCCCGCCTGCGTCCGCGTCATCATCCGAGATGTGGCCGGCAAGCACTCCTGGGACTCTGCTGTCCTCTACGGGCCTCCCCCATGTTCCCCCAGCAGCCCGACACACACATTTTTCCCACACACACAATCGCCTCACAGTGCAAATATTAATTTACGTACTCCTCCAGGAGGTCGACCAAAAAGAATAGAGGTGAAGAGAGAGGACAGCGAAGAGGAGGGGTCAGAGGAGAGGGAGGCAGAGGATGGAGAAACAGGGATGGAGAGTGAACGGCTAGAGGTAGAGGATGAAGAAGAAGAAGAGGAAGAGGAGAGGAATGTTAGTGAGAGGAGAAGGGAGAGGAAAGAGGAGGTGAAGAGGAAGAGGGGGAGCAGCAGCAGCAGGAGGAGGAGGAGGAGGAGGAGCTTAATGAGCATAGGATGGATGGTGAGGAGGAGCAAGGAGAGTCAGGCTTCCAACAGATTCTAGCTCCCCCATTGGCTAAACGGGTGTGTCGGGAGGCGGTGCCGGCGTGGGACTCGCTGGCGGATGGAGATGATGCACTGGATGAGATGCTGCAGTACCTGGGATACTCCAGCCCCGAGTGTCTACAGAGGGCAGGTACGCAGACATATGCATGCCCTCACGAGCCAAGTACGTATAGTGGGAATGTTCAGATTCTACATAAATATGCAGAATATGATCTCAGTGTGTGCTTGTTAAATAGTCCCTGTGCAAAGCAAAAGCAGGAGTATCACAATCCAAAGTACTGACATCCCAGCTCCCATCAGTGGTGATCTATAAACAGATATCTGAACACCAGTGAAGGTAACAATCCCTTCTAGATCCAATTATTCAACCTGGAAAACAAAAGATATGATCCATCCGCCCTCAGGGTTTCAATCAACATTTGACAGACTGAAGGTGTGGTCATCAACAAAAAGAAAAGACAAACAGCTGATTTTTCGTTCTCATTTTTCCCATTTGTACAATGCTGTGTTATTGAAGCCTATCAGGGATTTTTCTGATGTTTTAAGATTTCTTCAGGAATTCTCAATCTCATCTCCATTCATTAAAACAAGAATACAAAAAGCTTGTTTGTGTGAAAACATAAATTAACTTTTTTTTTACAGCTCCCCATCATGATGATGTCATTTCATCATCTGTCCTTATCTGCTTTATAATGACAGTGAATTCTGTTCAGTTGATGTATAAACCTATTCAGTGAAGCCTCTTACTGGAGACAGACTGACAGACAAACAGCAGCTGGATGAGAAAAGTCCAGTTGAATCCTGATACCTTGTAGTGCCTGATGTAGCTTACAGGTCTTTAAATGTGCTTTTGCACGGCATCATGGAGCTTGAAGAGGCACTGAAGTTAATCCAAACAGTATATGCATAATGTGGGACAATCTACCGAGCTGTGTGCACGTCCAAGTTATGTTAGGAAAAACAGAAAAGGCAGCTTTGGTTTTTGTAAATATCGGGAAAGTGACATATATTTAAAAGTCTTTGTTTGACCAATGTGAATGAACACAACTTATTGAATATACTGCAATGACATGTGCGCAAGATCAGCTGAGCAAAACTTTGCTTCGTATTTCATGAGGACACGTCTTTACGCCCATTAAATTAGCTCTGTAAGAGCACAGGAACCTGCATCAAATCAAAGGTGGAGACTGTTTTAGAAAGGGTCCACATGTCTGTTTTACTGTTGCCTCATGTTCTAGAGGAGAAACTTTAACAATTTGCAGCAACACAGAAAAAGTCAGGTTGTTTGCGTCTAACTTTTTCTTCTGATTTGCCTCTGTAGGGATGCCACTCAACATCCCAGCGCCTCCTCCAGTGTGTGTTTCAGAGAAGCAAGAAAACGATGTGATCAACGCCATCCTGAAACAGAGCGCAGCAGAAAGAGAGTTTGTCCTTCATGTACGTCTTCTCCTTACTTTTTATCAGAATGAGTTAAACCTTTCAATATTTGAAATGTCCATGTTGAAATATAATGTCCTGAAGAAGTGGATACTCAGACATGTGTGGGTCACGATGCCGCACTAGTTTACTTTAACAGTTTCACTTCCACACGGTTATAATGTTTAAAATAGAGAGACAATATGCTCCGTCTCCATTTGCTGTCCGAGGCTTTTAATGCACTTTACTTTGGGTCTCTAATTCTGCCTTGTTTGTCAGTAAGCCACTTTCTGTGTACCTTCTAGGTTATTTGGTGTCTTTTCTCCTTTATAGTTTATGCATGCTAGTCATTTGTGGTATGTTTCAGAGAGGTGAGGAGTTGAACATGAGGGCGGTGCAGCAGACTGAACCAGAGACTCAGACACCACAGTCAGCCTTCTACTACTGCAGACTACTGATCAACATACTGGGACTCAACTCCTGGGAGAAGAGGTGAGCCCAGCCACACACACACACACGTACCTCTACTAAAAAAACACACACTTTATTAGGGCTCAGCAGTTAACCAAACTTTGTAGACAGGTTCAGTCCTTTTTACAAACTTCTTTAACTGGCTTTGCTGGTCGCCCAGATTGGAGTGCTCCAGCAACTGAACTACTTAAACTACTACAACTATTGGAGTCTGAAACTCTAAATATTCATAACGTTCTCCAACTTGATACAATACATCTTCATAGTTTTTCCTCAACAACAATACCTAACAAGCTTATAATGTTTATGAAAAAAAATAATTCATGTCATGGTAAATAATATAGGTGGGGAAAAAAATCTATTTTGATTTTTAAATATTATTATTATTTTTGTGTTTTTTTGGGTGCTAAAGTCAGCTCTTTAACTCGGTACAATGCCGAATAGAGCAACAAGAAATTCAGCCGGTCTCAAAGATGACTGGGGTAGATCCTGAAGTTTGTACTAATTCATAAATAGACTTTGAATCATGAATATGAATTGTGACCCCAAGAATCAATATCGAATTGAATTGTGACACACCCAAAGATTCCCAGCCCTAGTAAAGGTGCTGTAAAACATGTGTATATTTTGTCGTAGTAAATGGAAAAGTAACATCTTCAAAATCTGCAGTTCTTCTAGTGTCCACTTGATGCTGGCTCCAGGAGCGGGGGAAGTCACATACACACCACAGGCTAAAAAGCTGTTTTTACAGGATAAATAAACATGTTTGCAGCCTGGTAAAAAAAATGCAATAGGTCTGATTAGTTATCGTCATCACTGGCACACACTGTACGGGGGGGCGGAGTTAAAAAAAAAAAAAAACTGCTCGGTTTTGATTTTTTAGCTGACATGATTGACAGGCGGAGGCAGGCGCGATGTAACCGTTCGTCAGGAGGCTTAACTTTTTTCACTTTTTACCTTGATGAGGACAGTCAATTTATATTTATCGTTGTAATGATCTGTATTTTATTTATTTATTTTACCAGGCAGAATTGCTTGAGATCAAATGACCTCTTTTTCGAGCAAGGCCTATCAAAATGGTATTTACCATTGTGTGATTATATGTGTTGCTTTTGTTAGCTAGTTACAGTATTTTGTGTTCTTTGACTTAATTTCTGTAAAGCTTGGGCCTTGGATAAGAAGAAGGGGTAAGACTGGATAGGCATTTGTTTAAACTTCATCCTACAGCCTTTTGGAACATGAACTAGTGAAGAAAAATCCAGTCACTACAGAAAGTATGCTCTGATTAATTTACCAAAAACCCTTTCATTTCCCTTCAACGCTGAACTAAAGCGTTCCATTGGCAAAATTATAAAATGTCCCCGTACCACTGATTAATAGATGGAGGTCTGGACTTAATCCGTTGAAATAAAATGCATCTTCTCATTAATAGAAGAAGCTGGTTTAGAAGTCTTTCCTGGACACTTGTACTGTATAAGGAGGCCTCTCATCGCAAAGAATTAATAGAAACAAACCAGGATTTATTTGTATTTACATACCAAAAATTAAGTTATAATGTGTAATTTTATTTTTACTTTTAAAATATGTTTGAAAATTAAATTAAATTCAAAAAGGACGTGATAATGCTTGAGTAAGAACAAATTAAGGGCCATGTTTTTTTTTTGAAGGACTCATAATGCTGAAAGCTTTTGTTAGTTTTTTTTCCTCCTCTAGAACAAACCAAATGGCTCTTCAATACAAATGACTCAAACATTTCTAATTCAGAAAAGTATTTTGTGTTAATTAGACGCCACAGTTCCTCATTCAGATTGCACAGCATTTCATCTTCTCACTGACTCTGGGCTGAAACGCACAATGTCAACGCATCACTTTAAATGCGTCTGGCCGCTAATGGACACTCATCACTCTTTATACTTTATCCAGGGAATTACACCGTGTGCATTCAGCCTGCACAATAGACTTTTTAACACACTGTGTGCACCGTGTGTGTGTGTGTGTGTGTGTGTGTGTAGAAGAGAGTGTGATAATGAGGATAGTACTCTATTGATCAAACTCAACCCATTTGGAGTTAGAATAAAAGGCAGTAGTTGAAGAAGAGAATGACGGCGGTGAGAGAATTGGCATATCAGGAAAAAAAAAACATGATGAATGGGGCCACATGAGTGAGAATAAAAAAAACAAAAATGTAAAAATTTACCAAAATAAGTGAGTGAATATGAAGAGAATGAGAAAATAAGGCTAATGATACTTAGCTGTTGGTAAAGAAAAAAAAAACGATAGACAAATGAGAGTGTCTTTATGTCTCTCCAGGTATTCATATGGGACATTACAGACACTTAGATACTGACAGTCACCTGTGTGTGTGTGTGTGTGTGTGTGTGTGTGTGTGTGTGTGTGTGTGTGTGTGTGTGTGTGTGTGTGTGTGTGTGTGTGTGTGTGTGTGTGTGTGTGTGTGTGTGTGTGTGTGTGTGTGTGTGTGTGTGTGTGTGTGTGTGTGTGTGTGTCTCCTTTTATGCTTTTTTTCCTATAATCCAGGGTGTAAATGGAGTCTTTGAGAGCCAAGAATGAGGCCATTACCAAGTATCAGTTTAATAAAGAGCAAATTGCGGTCCCTCTCCCTCTCTTTATCTCCTGCTCTTTCACTCTTTTTTTTTTTTTCCCCATCTCTCAAAGAGTGAAAAGAATGACGCGTCATTATCCGTCCACTCCAAGCCTCACCGCTCAAGTCGTGGTTTTTAAATCAGCAGCGTTGAGGTCGGTGGCTGGTCGCCAGGACATTTAGAACAGTCCCTGGACTTGGTAGTTAGTATAAAAGGCTTTTTGTTATTAAGAAATATCAGGTTTTTTCTTTGTTTGTGTTTGCAGCCTGACACTGGTGATGACACTAGAGATGTTGGTATACTTGCTGACTTAAAGCACAGTTAGAGTACAAAGTGATCTATATCACATACACACACAACTTCATTTTTTTTACATTTTTTTAAATATTTAGACTTTGAATCCATGGATCAGTGGATCTAGATTAGTTTTGAATCGAAAATAGATTCTGAATCTAATTGTGACCCTAAGAATCGAAATCAAATCGAATTGTGAGAGATTCCCAGCCCTAGGGGTCGCCCAACTGGGGCACTGACTTATGCAGGGGTGGCTGGAAGTGTCATGTGCACACAAACACACACAAATAAATATCAAATATTTAACCTTTCTAACCTCATCAAAAATATCTACTTAACACAAGATAATGGCAACATTAGCTTCATTTTCTAATTACACAAAAAGAGGATGTATGTTCAAAGTCACAATTTAAAGTACTTAAAAATGTATATGCAAAGTCCTTCACACCGTCTACCATAAAACGTTTTGGTCCCGACACATTGCCAGTTAGAGTGCATTATTCTCCTATGCCCCTGTCTTATTGAATTGGTTGTGCAAAGGTTTGATTTACAATTTAAAGTAAAATTACATAAAATAAATTAGGCTACATTGATATAACTACCAGCAGCCTTCTGCAAAAAAAACACCTAACAGTTGGTTTTAACATTAGTCCCGCCTCTGACAGGGCAAATAGCCAATTACAGTTTATGATTTTTGGGGTGGCACCTGGGGCGTCCAATCAGGGGTGTGGCCAGATTCCTGGTGGCAAAGATTCCTGGTGAAAACATTACACATAAAAAGAAACTGTATGGGATCTGACTGTATGCCCTAAACCCCCCTACTTCCTAATTTCATGAGGGGAGGCAAGGAAAACAGGATTTTGTTTTTCTTTTCCAAAGACTTGATCATCATACATGATGTCAGTTTAATTCTACAATTCTACAATTCACTTAGCAGACGCTTTTCTCCAAAGCAACGTACATCAGAGAGTAAGTACAACACAAGCAAGGATCTAGAAAAAAGGGAACAATGTCAGTAAGAGCAAACGATCAGCTTTGAGTCTGATTGGACACACAGGTGCTGACAGGAAGTGACCAGAGGCAAATAACAACATTGAGGGCAGTTCTTGAGAGCTCTAATCAGTATAGAAACCATCTTATAAGTCGTCGTTATCAAACAAAAACCATCATCATTACCATCATCATCATCAATAATATGGAGACCATCATCATTAAGTTAGTAGGTATTCATGAAAGAGCTGGGTCTTTAGCTTTTTCTTAAAGGTGCAGAGGGACTCTGCAGATCCAATGGAGTTTGGAAGTTCATTCCACCACCGGGGGGCGACAGAGGAGAAGAGTGTAGTCAGCTGCAGTTTAAATGCAGCATTCCCATGAGGAGTTTCTTGTCATCTGTGAAGGGGACATTCTTTACATTTAGCATGCTGGTGGTTTCAACACACCCTGTATTTTCAGGCATCTCAGGAGCAACTGTAGGGGAATATTTCAAAATTGGCGCCAACATCCACTTGGACTCTGATAAGACTTGGAGGGGGGGGGGACAAAGGACACTGACATCTCAAAGCTCCTCTTTATGTGAAGGCTAACCTGTGCATCTACCTCTGTCTTATAGGACTAACTTTCATTTGTTGAGGAAGAATGAGAAGTTGCTGAGAGAGCTGAAGAACCTGGATTCTCGGCAGTGGTGAGAAAATACTTTTGTTCCTCACTTCATTCCTCTTTTTCTATCTTTTCATTCAGGTTTCATTGCGTTTTCAGCATTCTTTCTTTCAGTCTCTCGTTTTGTTCCGACTGTTGCCTTGATGCTAACTGGTTTCCTTGATTCTCTTCCAGCCGTGAGACTCATAAGATCGCTGTGTTTTATGTGGCTGAGGGTCAAGAGGACAAACACTCCATACTTACCAACACAGCGGGCAGCCAGTCTTATGAAGACTTTGTGTCTGGACTCGGCTGGGAGGTACACATCGTTTTATTCATGTCATTTTAAACGACCTGACACAAAATTGATCATTTTTCTTCATATGTCAACAGAACACAAAAAGACCTTGAAGTCTGATAACCAACTGATAATGTAATCTCTATCATATCATCAATCGTTTTAATGATTTGTATTTGCATGAGGAAGACAGCTGTTTTGTTGGTCCAGCAATTAAAATGAAATGTAGATATTTCGTGCATGTTTGATGATAAAGAGAGAAACTCAACACAAGAAGATGATAAAGGGTTAACTCGGAGTAAGGCCATGATGGCTTCCCGCTGAAAAAAATATGTGTTTAGCATTTCCAAAAGCTTTAATATTCATGAGTCATTTAGAACTAATTTTATGATGGTTTGAAACACTTTTTTTGGACTTAGTGTTTAGACCAGTGCTTCTAAAACTTTCTCTGTCATTCCCCCTATTGTAGGGAGAAACACCCAAACAAAATGGTGACTACAAGGGCAGAGTTTTACTTTATTCATTTATGGAGATTGTGAACATTAACTTGGCTATGAAGGGTGTGTGCATGTGTGCATAGCTTTTTATTTACGCTAGAATTGTATCTTCTCGTGTGTGTGTGTGTGTGTGTGTGTGTGTGTGTGTGTGTGTGTGTGTGTGTGTGTGTGTGTGTGTGTGTGTGTGTGTGTGTGTGTGTGTGTGTGTGTGTGTGTGTGTGTGTGTGTGTGTGTGTGTGTGTGTGTGTGTGTGTGTGTGGGGGGTTCACCTCAGGTTGACCTCACCACTCACTGTGGCTTCATGGGAGGTCTTCAGAGGAATCGCAGCACAGGCCAGACTACCCCTTACTACGCCAACTCCACCACCGAGGTCATCTACCACGTCTCCACCCGCATGCCCCACGACCAGGACCACAACCTCACCAAGAAGGTAAATCCCACAGTAGAGTAGAAGTTCCCATTGTTTTTATCTTTTCTTGGCTGTAGAGTCAGTCGTCGATCGTCTGTCAACCAGAAGGTCGGGGGTTTGATCCCCAGCTCCTGCAGCACCCTGTCGTGGCGTACCCAGCATGTGAATGTGGTATGAATGGATTAGCTATTACTGATGGACACTTTACAAAGCAGACTCTATCTGTGTGTATCGGTGTGACCTGCAGCTTTTAGTTGTCAGAAGACTAGAAAAGAAGTCCATTGACCATTCCACCATTTGTCATGATGCCGTCCATTCTATCATTAGTGGTAGAGTCAGCCAACTCAACCACTCTCCACTCTCTCAACCGGAAGGTCAGGGGTTCGATCCCCAGCTCCTCCAGCCACATGTCTGGTATGTCCTTTGGCAAGACACTTAACCCCAAATTGCTCCTAGTGCTTCATCTGCGGCATGTGAATGAGTATGAATGGGATTGGTTAATACTGATGAACACTATACATAGTAACCTCTACCATCAGTGTGTGAATGTGTGGGTGTGACCTGCGGTGTAAAAGCACTTTGAGTAGTCAGAAGACTAGAAAAAGCGCTATACATATAGACCTCATAGGCCTACTTGCCTGTTTGTTTCTTGGGAAATCTAACAATTTCTGTGAAGTGGGAGACAGTAATGAATACTTTTAAACGTAGTCAGTTTTGCTCTAATGTCACTTGTTTTATTCGAATAGTGGAGGTAGGCAATAAGAAAAAAAGAGAAAAAAATCCCTTGACTCTATCCTTTCCATTTTTCTGTCTTGCCTTGAATGACATTAAAAAAGGAGCAGAGGTCGCTGCACACACACACTCACACACACTCACACACACCAATCTATTGATGTTTAAAAGACACCAATGATTCTCTGTAACAATAATGTCCATGTTTGTGCATGGTGTGGGCTCATATCAGTGTCTAGGCAGACAGGTTTATTGTCTGTATGTGTATATGTGTGTTTCATTTAGTGTGTGCGTGTGTGTGCACACCTGTCAACCCCCAGGCACTGGGCGCCCTGCACATGGCCATTATGTCCCTTTAATCAGATCATACTTCCTGCTTCTCGGCCTATCACGTCGCTGCAGGCTCCTGATTGGATTATCAGCGCCTGGTCCGACACCATCCGTCTCCGTGATCAGCTGATGGCCCCATCAAACACGCATACTCACATACACACACACACGCGCGCGCACACACACTTTTTCTCTCATGCCCGTGAACACTAAACTAAACCTGCTTAACTTGACATAAACACACATCCACAAAGGGCTTTATTAACATCCGTCTGCACAAATAACCACAACTGTACATTTGTGTTCATGTTTGACACGGAAACACACACACACACACACACACACACACACACACACACACACTAACACACTAACACATGCATATTAGAGAGCACACACACAGGCTTCCAACAGTTTGACAAATGTGTCCACAAAGAGGTTAAACTGACAGACATACACATGTCCATACTGGCAGGCATTTATCATCCATCCTCCTGTCTCACACACACACACACACACACACACACACACACACACACACACACACACACACACACACACACACACACTCCAGTGGGATTTAGTCTGTTTCAGGGCATTTGTCCAGTTCTCACTGTTTTCTGTGTATTGTACTCCTCTCATACAACATCTGCTTGAAACATGATTACATGGATTAAAGCTGAAATACACTCACTGTGGTATCAGGATATGATATCATTCTTATCCTCATCATTGAATATTTCTGTTGTTGTTTGGATGCATGTCAGACAATAAGAGTCCACTTTGCGTAATTCTTTCCACCTTATTGTTCTGATTCTTAAAAGTCTAAGCCTTTAGGTCATAATTCAAACTAACTGTGTCGATCGCAGCCCTGCCAGATTTGTGTGTTAAGGACAAAAACAACAAAGGAAATAGCCTCCTAAAGATTTATTTGAACAATAACTTGATAAATGCATCTTAATTTCTTCAAATTTTATATATAACGTATCATCTTAATGTACCCCTTGTCAAGATAATGTCTGGTCCTATAAAACAGTATCTCTCAATTTTCTCTTTTTCTGACTACTAGTAATTCTGGGGGTGACCAACGATAGTGGGTTTTTTTCCTCCAAAGCCTCCCTCAGGAACCAATGGGTCACTCAGGCTTCATCCATTAATATTTACAGTCTATGATTTGAACCTCGGCCGCCCGCTTGGAGGACAGCTTTCTAGATGGAAAAAATCTTGATCAAAATGTTGAGCGAAAACAATACAGGCTTGTGGGGTTTTTTTATGATAATGATTGAAAAATGTATTTTGGGGATGGCTGGAAACTTTTAAAATAAAGTTAATTACTAAAAAATAACACATAAAAGTTGGTTAGCTATTACAGACAAAAAATCATGTACTACATGAACAAATGTTTTTCTTAAAAAATCTTGACAGAGGACAAAGCACAACTGGTTATTGTTACGACACGTTTAGAAGGAAGTGTCTGTAATGTGTTTGTCTCAGGGCCAAGGCCAAGAGCGCCAGACTTCTAAAGGCGGAGAAGTCCAGAGACGTGTGTGAGTGTGTGAGTGTGTTTGTGTGAGTGCATTTCAGCAGGCATCAAGGTTAATGACAGAGCTGTCACCAGGCCTGACTGTAGCCCACTGAGTGCACATGACACACACACACACACACACACACACACACACACACACACACACACACACACACTCTTAAACAGAATCACACAGCATCACACTTGATCCCATCTGTCTTCCAGCCCATACTCCATCTCTCCACAGCTTCACTCTGTCTTTGTGTCCTCTCACCGTCTTCACACACTCACTCCATCACTCCAGGGCCACCTACACCTACACAAACACACAAAGTCAAAAAAAAGCCCCTGGGTTTATGATGGATACAGGCCATCTAGCCTTCTGTCTGCTTGTGTGATTGGCTGTGTTGGCATTGACTTAGTTTGTGTTGTTCATGCTACAAGAAAGACAAATGTCAGTCGCTCATTCCCTTTTTGGATTCTTTTAATTTCTCTTTTCTGTTCCCTTCTTCTTCTTCCAGCTGAGACACCTGGGGAACGACGAGGTCCACATCGTTTGGTCAGAACATTCCAGAGACTACCGCCGCGGGATCATCCCCACTGAGTTTGGAGACGTGTTGATCGTCATCTACCCCATGAAGAATCACATGTACTCCATCCACATACTCAAAAAACCTGAGGTACAAAACCAGCTTAGGCTTCTGGAAAATGAAGTGAAAAGCGTTACTGTTAGAAATAAAATATACATTTTAAAGACACGTTGAGGTACTTTTCTATTTATTTATTTTGAGGTTATACTTTTGGGCCTTTTTTGTCTTTATAAGATAGGACAGCTCAAGGGAGGTCGGAACCCATGGCCATTTCGATGAGGAATATAGCATCAATACATGAGGAGCGTGACATAACCGCTAGCCTTTCCCAAATGTAAGACTGCCGGGCCCACTTTAAAATACAAAATTACTCCGGGGCCCGTTATAAAATAAAAATTATGACTACAGCTATCACTTTCAGTAAGGGTAAATTATTGGACATGACAACATGATATTATGGCAAGAGAGACACAGAAGTTTCTTAAACATTATGTCCATGAATAATCATGACACGCCTTACTAATCACTTGAAGGGTTCACTCATGGTTAATCATCATTATTGTGATATTTCTTTTATTTTTAAACTTGGTGGAGGACTTTTCGCAGCCCACTGCGCTAGGCCATTGGCATCCAGAAGTACTTTAATTTGAGTTGCTTATGGTGGATAATCTATTCAGTTTGTAGCTGTGTTTAGAGCAGTAGTGATGCAGGTTGGTCATTAGCTGGGTCAGGTTGATCCAGTAGGAGAGGAATAGGAGAAAATTGAAATTGAATCATCTGATCCTGGAAAGTAGAATAAAATGATATGTCCAAATGTGGATCATTCTGATTAAACATTTTGACAACTGGGCTCTGTATATGAAGTTAGGTCTGAGGAAAACTGGGCACATGCAAAGTATTATGGGACATGGTTTTAAGTTTCCAACCAGACTGCAGCCTTATTCATTGAGATGGACAAACAATCCTTAAGAGCGTCTTGCCTTGAGTCGTGATGCTCTGGTTAATGTTCCAGTCTAAAACACTCGGACATTAATACCACAGCACTGATAGCATAATCCCATTTCAGAGGAGAACTAACACAATAAAATGCTGCTTTTTCTCTATGAGATAGATACCAAAGCACTAATAACATAACCTCGTTCTGTTTCATTCATTCTACAAGAAAAATATTGAGTTATGATAAATCCTAAAACAAGTTAGATGAAATATTCTCTGTGTTCAGTCACAGAGCGCAGGACTCGGAGTCCTGGTCTCCAAATAAATTAAATTAAAGCCTTGACATTATTCTCTTTGGTGGATTCCACAAGCAAAGTATGGAATTAAATCAAAAAACCATTGTCTGAATCAAATACTGTATGGTTATAAAAAAAACGGTGGTTTTAGTCGGTGGTTGCGTCAGACTTTTGTTGTCCTGTATGTGGACGGACGAGGTCGTACAATCATGTCCCAATCTGGTATAACCCTTCATATTAAACATTCGATGATAGTCAGACTTTGAAAATTAAAAAGTGTTACAAACAGTTGATGACAAAAACATTTTATGTACAGAAGAACATTCTTTCTTCATTTCTTAAGCACATGAAGTATTTAAATGTGCTGGTTGATGATTGATTTCTTTATTTTGAACATGTTACAAAAATAAGAAAAGATAATAAATTAAACAAGAAAATGATAAGAAAATCTGAAAAGTGAACCTAAACAACAATATTAACGTCCATATTCAACACAAAACACAAAGGAAAAGACAGGAGTACGATGATTTATTCTACCCTTTAATTTACCTTTCAACAACTATAACACAAATATCCCTAAAGTGTCAATAGTAGAGAATAAAAAGTAATATGAGGATCTCCCCTGGGTTTGTCTGTCAAAATGATGGGCATGATGATGTTTAGATTTTTTTTTAATTACACAAACAGTACATACTACAAGATGTCATGCTTTGTTCACTAAAACTATAAATTGAAGTATCTAATATTGAATATTTTCTTAAATTGGTAATGATAAAAATATCTTGAAAAGCGCCCAGTAGATTTACTATGAACTATAGAAAAGAGCAGTGTTACATTACCTTTAAAATCCCTGACTTGACTGCATGTCTTTGTGTCTGTAGGTGCCATTCTTTGGTCCTCTGTTTGACGGGGCCGTTGTGGACATGAAGATTTTGCCAACCATGGTCCGAGCCACAGCTATCAACGCTAGTCGGGCGCTCAAATCCCTCATTCCCCTGTACCAAAACTTGTATCCTTTGAAAACCGTGTTCAGAATTTACTCAAGCATGATGAGGAGCCAAAGGTAGGTCACAAAAGTCCTCTTCTTTATAACGCCTTTGTTTCCTGCAATGTATAAACTCCTCATGGTCAACTCTTTGAATTTAAAAAAAAAAATTTAGGTTATCTCAAGGTTTTTAAGGATATGTGACAGATATTGATACTATTGTGTGGGCTGAATATATCAATGCACCTGAATGTGCGAGTAAGAATGCTGGTTATAACCTGCTCAGGTGTTAAGAATGGCAAATCAATGTCTAGTGGCTTTCAGAGTATAAGTGCTGCTGTGATAGAGCTGTATTTAGTTGGCTCTGAAGTGCAATACATCGTGTGTGTGTGTGTGTGTGTGTGTGTGTGTGTGTGTGTGTGTGTGTGTGTGTGTGTGTGTGTGTGTGTGTGTGTGTGTGTGTGTGTGTGTGTGTGTGTGTGTGTGTGTGTGTGTGTGTGTGTGTGTGTGTGTGTGTGTGTGTCTTGTACAAAGATGAGACACATTTGGTGCGTGCGTGAAAGAAAGAGAAACAGACAGACAGGTGTGCATACAGTCTGTCTGCCTGATCCGATGCGATGGTAGTTTGGTTGGAACATGCTGAGCGGTCGATACATATCGATGACTCTCCTCTCCGACGCTGTGACTGAACGAGGGGCCTCGCTCTCTGCTCTCACGCACAGATACTGACATGTGCACACTTCTACACATTCTTCATCCGCACAAACATAGACAGAAGATCGCCTGTCTCTGTCAGTCACATAGAGACGAGCTACTCAGAGGGACAGTAGTGCAGATACATCCACATAGACATGCAGATTTTGTGAAAACACTCAAATGCAAAATTGTGAGAAGAAAATGGTTCTGTTGGATCAAACTATGCTCCTCACTAATCATTGTAAAATCTTCTTATCAGCACTATAACAATCAGATTCCTGCATGATATCGTCTTTGAGTCTTCCTGCTGTCATTCAGCCTTTTAACACATGCACAAACCTCAGGATGGGCTGCTTTGATGTGAAAGCAAACGGCTAATTTTTCATCACGACTTAGTGATGAGTGTCGGAGTTAGTGTATTTGTGTACACATGCAGATAGATAGATAGATAGATACTTTATTAATCCCTTGGGAAGGTTCCCTCAGGAAATTCAGATTCCTGCAGCAGGTAACACCAAAGGATAGAACAGCACACAGATATAAAAAACACAAGTTATATACAATTAATATACTGTACACAGTAGCAGCAATAGACATGTCTAAATAAAATATACCATTACAGATTTATAATAAAATAGTTGCAGCAATAAGAAAAAGGTAGCAGCAGTTATGTTTTTTTGTATTTGTCCTTTGTGTTTATAAAAAGATAATTAACAATAAATAATGAATAATGCAAGCTGTTAGGATTGTGTTGTGGTCAGTTCCTATTTCTCCTCCTCCCTCCAAGTGCAGGTCATACTCTTGGGACCACTGTGAGCGAGTGTGCTGGGGTGATGCCGTTCATACCACACACACCTGATCCAAGCTTGCCAGGGCCAGGAAGTGTTTGAGCACAAACCGGAGCACTAGACAAACAAACTGGACTTTAGGGGTGGGGTGTGTTTGGGCTACTGTAAGGATAGCCTAGTGGGAGTGCGCTCTAAAAAATGAGATTCTAACCTTATTATTATTGTTGATTTAAAGCTGCTTATTGTACATTTTTAGCAAGTGTTCCTGGCTGTCTCAACCACTTCTCTGCTGTGTGCCTCTTCTTGAGAGCAAGCTTTGCTCAAAAATCATAGCAAACACTGAGCCACTTCAGGGAGATTTAAGTGGCCTTTTTGGGAACAAAGTTACTCTGATTAGTTTAATGGTGCCTTGTTGACATTTTAGCTCTGTTAGAAGAAGAACTCTCGAGTTACTATGAACTACACGGTGCTTAGGGAAGCAGGGAAAGATCTGAAATTACTCAAGTCAGAGTGAAATATGTGTTTTCTTTCCAAAACACATTTCATGTTTCCTTTGAGATCTTAGTAAACAAGTGCTTATTCCCAGAATGATGCCGAGGGACAATTAGGGGACAACCTGCTCGACCTCCAGAGCCACAGTTGTCCATGTAAATCTTGTCACATGATTTTTACTCTTGTCTTTAACCCTTTAACTCCCTTCTTCCTGTCATCCCTCCTCTGCTCTCTATCTCTCTCTTCTTGTCCCTCGCCCCTCTCTCCTGTCTCTCTTTCCTCTCTACTTCACCTTTACGTTCTCTTCCAGTCCTCTCCACCTCTCTTCACCTCTCTTTGAATAGCTAATGAGTGTTGGAGGTAAACAGATGGAAGGAGCTCAAGGAGAAGTGGAGGGAAAGGGAGAGGTTGAAGAAGCCATTTTGCATTGCCACGTTCACTCAGCATGACAGAGACTTAGAGATTGTAAGACTCAATGTGAGCCAGCAGCTCATAGCTAACACCCCCCTCGACCCCCCTTGTGTGTGTGTGTGTGTGTGTGTGTGTGTGTGTGTGTGTGTGTGCGCGCATGTGCACCTTCTTGCATGTACTGATGATGTCGTTGTATCATTTGTGTGTGACTCCAGGGATCTTGGTTTTGTGTGCAGATGTCTCAACAACTTCACATTGTTTGTGCATTTTCCCACACTGTTGTGATGCCATATGTTCAAATATGTATGTATCTCTGCATGTAGATGTGTGATGATGCACACTTGTCTCGAGGTGTTTGTGTGTGTCTGCGAGTGTCCTGGTGCGTATTGATTGGTGGTAGCAGCAGGTCGATGCCTCTGACAGGCTGAATTACAGTAATCAGTCATTATTGACTCCCCATCTCGGTGCTACACACACCTCTCTCTTCTTCTGTCTCTCCACCTCTCGCACTCCTTTCTTTCTCTTTCTCCATCTTCTGTCTCTCCAATTCTTCATCTGCGTCTGAACATCTGTTTGCGTCTTGTTGCCCTGTAATTTCTCTCTTCTGCTGTTTTGTATCACTCAGTCCCCCTGAGCATCTTTTCTCTGTCTCCATCTCTTCTTCTGTCCCTGTATTTTCTCTCTTGACTCTCTATAACTTCCTTATCACAGTGCGTCTGTTTTTGGTCCGCTGGTCTGTTTTTGCTCTTTTTCAAATTTCTGTACTTATCAGTCTTCATTCAGTTTTAGTTGTTCTTTGTTGTCCTTAGCAAAGAGAAACTGTGGCATCATGACACACTCACAACTCTTTAAGAATAATCACAACTAAAGAGAGTTGATGGATGTGTAGGAAAACAAAAAGAGATAAGAAGACACAATAGAGTGCAATACTATTTCAAAAGTAAAAAGAGGCTTGTGTATTTACTCGTTTTGTTTTTGTGTCAGAGAACCAGGACCAATGAATACAAGTTTTGCAAAGAAAACAAAACTTTCCTCAGAAAAGTCATGAGAGGCAATGATCTTTGTCTTAGCCAAGTGGCAACCTTCTCCTTGAAGCCAATGTGGAAGTGCAAAAAAAAAAACTGCAGTTATTTTTGTCCGCTTGAGGCCGGCTGAAAAAGGAATCCTCATTAGGTCCAATGTTACAGCAGATATAAACATGGTTACAGCCTGGTTTAAAAAAACAGGCTTTGTCGGAATAATTTCTTTATTGGTAACAGCTATCAGGTGTTTGTTTTATAACTGAGCATGTTGTGATGATATTTTAGAGTTATGAATACATTTTATTATATTTAGTGGCATGTTGAGTTAACTTTTACAAGATGGCAAAAGATTGATTGAAAGTCAGGTTGACACAGATTTTGAGATATAGTTCTTTGGTCTTTGTGATGCTTCTTCAGAAACCAATGGGGGTGCATCACTAAGTCTATGACTGCCTGACTAACTTTGGAGACAATTGGCCGAGCAGTTGATGACAAGATGTTGGAAATAGTTTTTTTTTTTTTTAAATGTATTGCACAGATGTGACACTTTAGGAGCTGCAGATCTCACACAGAGAGTTAAGAGATACAAATGAAGAAATAATTTTGACTCTGTAATCCTTTTTTTCTGTTATTATCTTGAAAACGGTGTCACTGGAGGTCAATGAGTGCCCTTATATGTTACTGAGTAGTAGACAGAATTTGCAACTTAACTGCCTGTTTTGGTGTCTTGATTTTTGTTTAATGGACGCACAAAAAAAACGAAAAAATAGTTGTCGCTACGCCCATTAAATGCAATTACAGGTAAGCCCATTAGTCATAAAAACATTATAAGAGAAATTGGAATTAGTAGTACTAGCACATATGTAAACGTGGCAAAAAAACTGTAATTTCAAATTGCCTTGTAATCTGTATTACATCTTGTTTTTTAAATATTTGAGATCTGGAGCTTCTTTATTTAAAAAGTTCAGATGTATTTAAAGGTAGTGCAGGGGCAGCAACACAGGTGGAGATTTTACAGATACATTTAATGCAAAACCATTTACCATTTGTTATCAATTATGAACAAACATCTCATCCATGCGTCCGTTCTTCTGTAAGATGAACTTCAAGTGCTGCAAGAAGCTTTCTGTGTTTCTGATCCTGAGTGCTACTTTGTCACATTAAGTGTCTTCTCACAGAAGCTAATAGGAATAGAGGATGCAAGAAGGCAAGCAGCGCTGTGTGTGTGTGTGTGTGTGTGTGTGTGTGTGTGTGTGTGTGTGTGTGTGTGTGTGTGTGTGTGTGTGTGTGTGTGTGTGTGTGTGTGTGTGTGTGTGTGTGTGTGTGTGTGTGTGTGTGTGTGTGTGTGTGTGTGTGTGTGTGTGTGTGTGTGTGTGTGTGTGTGTGTGTGTGTGTGTGTGTGTGTGTGTGTGTGTGTGTGTGTTAACTGGCATTTTTCTCTTCTTTCTTTTCCTGTCTCTCTTTCTCTCTGTCTCCTGGCCCTCGGGGCGGTCCATCTGCCTTTTCTCTCTCTCTGATCTTTCATTCACCATGACTAGAGCCATCCAACAACACACACACACACACACACACACACACACACACACACACACACACACATACAGAGTGCCAGGCT